CTGGGCTATGAGCTGTTTCTCTGAACCGGCTCCCCAAAACTGTCATGTGAAACAGGTCATGTCACAGCTCAGGGGAAATCTTTGGAGGGGAGGGTATGGTGACTGAGAGCTGGTTTTGCTTGTAGTATTCTAAAAGCACCTGAATTTCTGCTAAGCTGATATATATACATTTATCTGGGGGAGGGGATATAGAGATATATGAGGTATACATAGGATAAATGATATATACATTTATCTGGTTTGCTTCCATGCAAAGTGAATAACCATGCTTTTATACTCCCGTATTAATGAATTAGTGAACAAGCCATAAAAAATGGCTGAAGTCCTAATCCTGAGTTTTCCCTACTCTGTTTGCCTTCTTTCTGGGGTGTCTAAAGTCCACCTTTTGGGGAGGGGGGGCATGTGTGTAGAGAAGAAACAGCAGTGTAATTACCTTGCTGTGAAAGGCTTTTCCTGCTACTTTTTTGTCATTTTAAAGAGGTATACACACATTGGTGAAAATCTTCACCAGGGCTTTGGAGTTCTAGTATTAATTTTTCTTCTTAAGAACACCTCCCAGTCTGAAATTTTGCAGCTAAATTTTTTATCATGCTATCACCCTGCGTATTTGCAGCATTACCCAGGGAGTCCAGATGACGCTGACTGGGTTCAGACAACAAGCCATGACTTTTATTACCATTGTTGGTCTATCATGTTATCTGAACCTAGTCATGGTATTTTGCCATGGCAATTTTGGTCTTTAGAAACCATGGTTTGTTCTGTGGTTTCTCTGTGCCACCATGGCTTGTCATGTTGTCTTATTTCCACAATCCTGGTATACCACTACTACAGACTCCTCTGAAAGAGTGGCAGGTTCAGGAGCCTCTCCAGCTGTCTAGAATCTGTGCTTGGACATACGAAGAAAGGCCAGATGACAGTCAGAGGTGGTGCACCTTGGGATTCAATTTCAGGCACAGTGGCTGATGGGAAATGCAGCTTTTTGTTTCTGTCTAAACATGCATAGGATTGTGCTTTGAGGTGGGAAAAACAGAGTCACTGCTCAGTGTTGTTTGATTGTTAGCCCTCGGAGCCCTCTGTGTACAAACCTTCTTTCTGTGTCCGGTCAGTCCTTCTTTACTTTACAATTCTATGTGTAAAATAGCTCTGTACAATAAAAATTGCAAACCATGTTGAATGCACATACATAGAAGGGGGTTCAGATGACCTTTTTAAAAATAAAAGATATGGGGGAAGGGAGGGAAATGTCAGAGGAAAGGAAAGTCCCCCCCCCCCCCCGCCCGGCCATTCAATTTGCTTCCCTTCAGCTTCAAAAAGCATGATTGTCCTTTGGAAAAATGACTTGTGGGAGGCAGTTTGGCAGAGCGAAGAGTGCTCCCTTCACCACTCCTTGCCCTGAATGATGCCTCCCCAAAGCTCTGTGTAATTAAAGGGGGAAAAGGTAGCTGGCTCAGTTACACACGTTTTGTGTGTCCCGTGCAATCAGCCCCTGAAGTACCCCTCTGTGACTGATCTGTCTCAGAAAGGTCATGTGCATGTGGAGACTGACTGTTGCTAAAAATAATCCTGTGTGCTGGATGTGTGCATGAGGTTTGGCAGAGTAGAAGTACAAAACTGGACTTCACGCGGAGTAGCGTCCTTTAGCCACTGGCTATTTTGGCCTGGGAACTTTAAATCGGGCAGCGGTTCACCGGAGCCTTCAAGCGATTCAGGGTCCTGAATGATATAACAGTCATCTGCTTCGGAGTCACTGGCTTTTTTCTGCATGTTTCTAGGGCCTTTGGAAACAGGAGGGTTTCTCCCCCCCCGCCCCGCCCCCCAATCGTTGTAAGGATTTTCCCAACCTTCTTGATTATTCTTAGACCCAGCAAAATGCCTGTCCCTATGACATGCAGAATGCTTGGGCAGGAAAACCTAACTTTTGCCAAACTCAGAGGATGATTCTGAGGATGTTTGCAATCTGGGACATTGGGACTAAAGCAAGGCTAACCTGACCCCTGAGGAACTTTGTATGTGGAATATGGGCAAGGTTTTGTTCCCTTTCTGTTTTGCCCCATGTCATAGCCTGGATTTTTTTAGTTCCTGGAATTCAGTGACCATCCCTGCCTCTGTGTAGCACCATTCTCTTTTTCTGTGTATCCGCAGTCTAGGTTCTGCTTTTACAGGCTGTTCCTGACTGTAGATCGTTTCCCCTTGGTGCTGTGGTTTACATTATTTTATTATTTTAAAAATTATCTTTGAACACATTTTTGAAGTGTAAGGAGTTTTTTAATAGGAAAATAGTATATAAACATTGTGAATTAATAAAAATGCATACATATACGTACATATTTGCACAATCCCTCTTATTTTCATAAGAGTTGTATTATATCTGCATCAGCTGTTAGTGTTTAATAAAATTTTGGCAGGAGTCACAGCTTTGCCCTTTCTCTGTAGCACAATCACTTCATTTCTTCTGAAGCAGTTGCCTGTGTCTGAAACATTTCTTATGCAAAATAAAAAGGCGTCACCTTTATTTCACAGTGCAATTCTAACTCTGTTCGTTGCAAAGCATGTTTCTCCAGTCTCACTGGAGCTGAGATATAAATTGAGAACTTCAACCTCTCTGTCTAATTGAACGGGGCCACATAGGAAGACTTGAAAGCCTGGTTGGTTATATCATATCTTGATACATGCCTTACACTTGTGTCTCCTACTGTTTATTCCTTCTTCCCTGTTCCATGTGCTGTGATAGAAGATGTCCTTGGTCAATTGGCCATAACTTCACAATATATCCAAACTGAGAAGTTCTGGTTACCAGGTTCAGAACAAGCAAGGATCTGAAACCAACTTGAGACCATGGTTTAAGATCCTGGTTTGTTCCAAAGAGTTTCCCAGTTCAGTTGTAATGCTTAATTACGTTTAATTAATACTGCAGCTCTTTGGTCGTAGCACACAAAGGGTGGTGTGGAAACAGAGCACATTGGCACAACACACATGCATGTTTCAGCTTAAAATGACAAGATGTGTTATGTCCAAACAAGGGCACCATATTACTTGATGGAGGATGTCAGCTCCTTAGGACTAGCTGGTCCTAGGTGTTCAGTTAGGACCAGACTAAATGTGACATTAAATGTGCCTTGGCATTTCGTTTTTTTCCAGCCTAACAGGGGACAAATAGATTAAATTCACTATCTACACCAGAGATCACCTTTTTGGACTCATGGAAATATTTGAGAATCTGAAAATCCAGTGTGGGGATCACCACAAAAAGGCCTACTCAGTGGATCTACACTTTGACATCCACATGTCCTGTCTGTGGCTTTTAAACTGCTCCCTAATCAGCAAAACCTTTGCTTTGTGCCTTTTGGGCACTGTAATGCCTCTTTAATCAGAGAATGCCTAATTCAGCTAATTGCTGTGGGCACGATACAGCGAAGCATACATCTTCACAATGTCCAGGAGTTTCGTCTTTTGAGGAAGTGGTTATGACACACGAGAGCCGGTGTGGTGATTAAGAGTGCAGGTCTGGGAGCAAACTGAGAGACTTTGGCCCTATCACATACTCTCAACTTGGCCTACCTCACAGGGATGTTGTTGTAGAGAGAAGATTGAGAGTAGCAGCATGAAAAAGATGAAATCAAGTTTGAGATCTTTGTAAGAAAAAGGTGAAATATAAATGTAATAAATAAATAATACATAAATTTTAAACTGGGGCAATCTTTAATATCCACTGACACACATTCTCTGTCACATTATTTACTTGCTTTGCAGAAATTAAATGGAAGAGGGAGTGGATTCTCTGAGCCCTTTTGACAGCTAAAAGAATGATCTTACACAATTGGAAGAACATACACTCATAATGCAATGGATTAAGTGTAGTGCTTTCAATATTTGAACAGGCAACATAGAAATGGATGCTTATTTGGATATTTGGTTGAAGTGTATGTAAAATGGTTAGAAAAATTACGGATTTCATACAAATCTGTATATGCATATTGCAAATAGACAAATAAACATTTCTTTTAAGCATGTTTCAGGTGACTGCAGACACCACATGGGGGACCCCTTAGCATGTGCCCTGGAAGCACCCTCAGCAACCATATTCCTTCCCCAGGACCCTGCTCTCCACTTTCTGTCTCTTGCTAATTGTTAGCTGACCCAGCTGAAGTTGTTTAAGCTTTTAAAACCCGTGTCTTAAATGTGAAGGCACATTTTACGTCATGTTTAGTCTGGCCCCGAGGTTCTGCATTTGTCAGCATTAACAGTGGTACGTAGCAAATCACACTCCAACAGTACAGGACTTGCATCGTGTCCTGATGTCTGGGGACCTGACCCATCTTGGCCTTATAGGACCAGTCTGCTTCTGGTCTGTGCCAGCTTTCCGTGTGTTCATATGTAAGTGCTTTCCATCCTATTTTCATGTTAATTTGTGATTTTAAAAAATGAATGAGAATTTATATGTAAATATTTCTTCACAAAATAGCTAAATGTATTTTCTCTTTGTGTATGCATTCCTAATGTGTTTTGTCCTAAAATACGCATTTATTCACAATTCAGAATGTTTTTTGACCTGTTAACTAAGAGGCATATATTGCAATATCCAAAGAACGGCAAGGAAGAGGAAAGGAAAAATCAGAGGGGACGACTGCTCCGTCTGCCCACCCACTTTCCCCAGCATTTTCCACTCCCTTCACATAAGAGACAAAGCAAGCATTAGATGGGGAATTCTTCTAATTCATAGTTGTATCCTGTGCTACTCCCCCCTTCCCACAAGCATCTTGCCCCACAGTGCTTGTCTTTGATGGACTGGTGAATAGTTGTGGCAGCTCCTACATATATCGGGGGTTTTAGTCATCAGCAGAGGGATAACAGCTTCACATCCAAGGTCCATTGGCACACAAGGTTCTTTGTGTTATGGGGCGCCACTGGGCACTCCCCCAGTTTCATTAGTCCTTGCTCTTCAATTTGGAATGTTCTTGCCACCTTTGTGTTGATAACATTGTTGCTGTACTGCCTTATAGGTCCAACTACTCAACGCCAGGTTCAAAATGGACCTTCTCCAGATGAAATGGAAATTCAGAGAAGGTAAAGAGCAAAAATTTCCAGGGGCATTTCAAATTCAAGGGGGGGGGGATGTGTGAAATTAAAAAGTAAAGGCTGCTGGTAATTAATTAAGGTAATGTACCATCAAAATATATGTGAATCCATTCAGGAGATACATGATTGCATAGGTCCATTTCAGATTAACCACCTGAAAGTTTCAGTCTTGTAAGACATGGCTTGTAATGTTTTGCAAGGGGGTGAAGTGTCCATGTGACTCGCCAACATCAGTGATAATTTTAGTTACTTTCAAGTTTGTATTCCTGATCCATTAATCAGAAGCTTGGCACCCCATGGCCTCCACCCCCTTTGTCGATTGGAGCATTTTATGAGTTCCATTCCGTAGTATAAGACATGATAGGAAAGATTCCTCCCTGTGAAGATCATGTCACAGCAGCGTGGCATATTTTCATGTTGTGGTGCCTTGGACCAAGATAGGTAAGAGGCAGACCTGCCTTTGCAGCAGTCTGGGAGGTCTTTTTGGTTTGTTTTTAAGCTGTCCTCCCCCGTTACTGGTACACAGAAATGCTTCTTTAAGAGGGCAGAGGACATCTTTGACTGGTCTAGCAATACCAGTACTGTTAACTTTGGCTTAGGGTGTGATAAGCGGTATGGGTAGAAAAAATCAGAATAAATCAAGACTGTTTTGGCTATTGAAAAGCATAATGGGAGGCAGCAGTAAGTACCAGTTCATAAGATATCAACATAAAAATTTTGCTTTTGCTTTTTCTAGAAGGTTATTTTCTTAAACGTTTTCAGAAAGCGTAATGTCTCGGTTCTCTAACAGAGCTATAGAGGATCATAATATTTAGACATACATGAATGGCTGGTTCCCCTTTTCCTTCCTCCAGTCATCTGTATGCAGACTCAGATCAAACCTCCTCATTTGTGCTTGACAAGATAATTTCTGGGCATGGCACAGCACACCTCGTCGAGAAACAAACTGCTGTGAGCTTTATGTGCCCTTTGCATGTTCAGACAGAAAAGAGTCCTGCAACACCCAGCATTCTCCAGCCAGCATGGGTGACTCCAGAATGCTGGGTGTTTTCTTTTCTTTCTTTTGGTCTAAGTACACATAGGACTGAACCCTAAAATTACAAAGCTAACAAAAGCAAGTTAGCCCAAGCCTGGAGCTAAGGCATTGTGTTTAATCTGTAATATTATCATTAATTAAGAGTTTCACATATTCTTCAAGTAGCAAGTTCTCAGGGTTTATGCCACATTTTTCCATAGGTCCACAGCACCATGGCAATACACACAGAAAGCAGGCACACAAAAAGCCAAAAAGAGCAGGATTTTTGCACTGCTTCCTGCAATGTGAAGAAGAGGCACATGCCTGTGATTTTGAGAAAGGTGCTTTACATTTTAAATGGGAAAATTGCATGCATAACTTAGCCACTCCTAAACTTTAGATCTCTTTGAGCTATTTCCACTTAGAGAAGAAGGCTCCATTGTGCAAAATCATGCATTTGTAAAACATTTAAGGTTACTACTTCTAGATCTCACTACATATATTGGACTCTACCTTCTGTAATATGTAGGGAAAATTTCTTTTTTTAACACTTTGAGTAATAAGGTAAACATCTTGCCTTCATATTCACATGAAACTGCTGCATTATTACTCACCAAGCAGTGGTCAGAGCAAACTTTCAAGATAGTTAAGATGTAAAAGGCCCTCTGGTGGTATATCCTTAAAACTGCAGGCTTCTTTAAGTGGTATAGTCATGACACATGAAACTTTAGCCATACAATCGATACCATCTCTCTAGTGAAGAATAAGATTGGGTGCAGGCAATAGGGTCCGTGAAGTGGAGCTTTGTCACGGAAGCCATCTGTTGTATCTTGCCACAGCTGTTCTGCGGAGGCAGATAGAATTCCCTATAGAAGGTCCTGACCTGCTAGGTGTGGGACTGGGGAAAATATTTAGCCACATAGCATTAGGGAAGGATAATACTTGGAGTTAGGATACACTTGCAACTTCCTGATGAAAAGGTGAGGTTGTAGCTGCAGCAAAAGCTGTACAGAATCTGCTGGCATCACAGAGACAAACACTTAGCACCAGCTCCCAGTGCAAGATCATCTCTCCTTACATAGACCCAGTAGACCACGATGACATTGAGGGAGCACTGGGCCTCTGTGTCACATCTGGCAGAAACATGGCAAAGGCCTTCTCTGTGGTAGAGTCCCATTTGGAAGACTTCTGCTCCATCAGGCTCGGGAGATCATTTGCTTGGGAAGTTGATTAGAAATGTATTTGTTTACGCTGGCTTTTTCCAGCCATTAGCTTATCAAAATGGTGCTCTAATTGTAATGGCAGGTTGTTTGGTAATTAGTTATTTGGGATTTTTAAAATAGGAAACAGTTTTTTCAATATTCTAAAATAAAATGAAGAAATCACATTTTTTCTGGCATGAGTGTTCATGAACATTGCCCATTTCACCAAATGCCTTATGCCAGAATGAATACATTAGCCTTTTAAGATGCCACAAGGCCCTGTCATTGCTGTTAAAGAGGATATTATTATTTCGCTGAAAATAATTCTACACTGATAGATTTAGCCATAATTTCTGATGATGACTTTTTAGGGTTCATACACCTAAAGCAGGAAGGCTGATGCAGTTCTGTCTGTGAAATACTTCCGTGCACAGCATTTTCTGGCTACTTATCCTGAAAAAATAGAGCCTTCCATTGGTTTTAACCAACTGACATATATTGTTGCTCTAGAGTTTTTGTTTTTTAAAGGACTCTGGGTGTGAGAGCCAAACATATGGCAGTTTATAAACTCAGCCTTCTCTAGGAATCTGTCTCTAAATTAGCCAGTAGGGAAAATCCAGTGAACACTGAAATCCATGGTATTTCTTTTATTGAAATCAGCTGAATAAGCTTGCTTAACTGAATGCTTGAATTCCATGTTTCCACAAGGGATGTGGAGTGAGAACAATAATTTTCTACTTGTGTATCTTACCATCAGCAACAAAAAGTTACTTTAGGAGAAATAACTACATCTATGATATTGGGAAAAGCTTGCAGTGATCATGCAGCATTCACACAATGCGAATCACATGAGTCTGAGCCTGATGCCTCCCTTCCCTTCCTTGCTTCTGCCCCAAAATACAGGTACTCAGCATTAGAAAATTGAACACTTCTGGTTTTCTGCCTTCTTTTTCACTTGAGTGTGTCTGGAACTAGAATCTAATCCCTTTTTGGAAGTATCTGTAATAGTTTCTGAACTGAGAACAGTTGCTTCTTGAAAATAAAATTTAAAAGAACATGTTCTGGAGTTGCTTTGACCTGGCTGGGACATCATGATGTCCCAGAAGCATTTAAAACTCTGGATTAGCATGAACAAAACTCCTGATAAACCAGAGTTGTAATCCAAGAACAAATACTGGCACATGACTCTGGCTTTTCAAGGAGAGAAAAGCCAGAGTTTCTAGTTCAGATGTGATGTTAACCAAATTAGGGGCTTCCCTGGCTTGTTCAGTCTCTCTTGTTGGCAGGAGGAACCAAGCAGGCGTGATTGAACAGTGCGCACGAATACACTAGCATGGTTGAAACAGCATGAAAACCAAGCCTCCAAGTTGCATTGGCCAAGGGCATCATTCACTTTCCCACAGGCCACTGGCTGGCTGACCACTGTGTACACAGAATGCTGGACTAGATGGACCTTTCATCTGACCCAGCCTGGCTCTTCTTAGGCTCTTCTTTCCTATGTTCAGTAAAGCAGGTTCCTTCCCTCTGCATCTGGCAGTACTGGGGCATTTGTATGATCCTTTTTGCTGGATGAAGGCTGCTTCTATCGCCAAAACCAGATTGAGAGCGTTCCACAGGACATGACACCTTGTTGAGATTCTGCAGTACATATTAGCCCCCATATTGAATATGCAGCCCTCCACTGGAGGCTGCTGGGGATTGTTCTGTTGATGCAGACCTGACCACCAGGGTTTATCTGAGAGCTAAACAACCTCTGCATAATCCATGATCTCTTGTTGGGTTTTGCAAGTGCTGTTTAAATGTCAGAGAGCCCTGGTCAGTCAGGTTGGCACAACAACAAGGGATGTATAATCCACATGGTGGCTGGCACACCCCACAGCTCCCCAAAGGCAAATTAACCCACAATGGACTGTCAAGTCATGCAAACCAAGGTCAGTGAACTTGTTATATCCTTGTTAGATAGTAAGGGATTCTCCAGCAGTCAGCCCCAGATGAGGCCTACCTCAATCTAAGGAGCATTTGCATGAATGTATTTTAGGAACTTAAGCTGGATTCTTTTCAACCCCTGTTTTAGGCAAGCGATGGAGCAGCAGCAGCAGCAGCAGCAGCAGCAGCGTCAGGAATCTCTGGAAAGAAGAACCTCTACCACAGGCATGTATCGTGCTTTTTCAGGCAAGGCAAAGCAAGACAGCTGTTTCCCTGCTTTTCTCCTTTAACCCCTGGCTGTTCCTGGTGTTTTTACGGAAACTACTTGGGCTGTTGTGTACTGCTATAATTCTGTGGTTTGAACATATTTGCAGTAAAGGTAATGCACAACTTTACATAAGAGAAGGATACTGCTGCAGAGGTATGATGGGCATTTGAGGTGCAGTTCAGCTCCGTTTGTAGCGTAGAAATAATTTCAGTTTTGCTTTGCTTTTTAATTTCTGTACGTTGCTCGTGCACCCAAGGATTGCATTTGACTTTGGCCTAAATGGCTTGTGATGCACACTGCAACCTCACATTGGTTAACTTGCCTTCGGTTTGTCTTCCACAGTCTGCCTTGCCTTAGCACACAGGCATGGCACAAATATTACAACAGCACTCATTTTTATTCACATTCTGAAGACCATCTTAAACTGGTATTGTGTCTTTGCCAACCCCTTTAATAACTCCGCAGAGCAACTTGACGGATACTCGTAAGGTACAATCCTATGCAAGTTTAGACAGAAAATAAGGCCTGCAACTCCCAGTATGTCTAAACTTATGTAGGTCACACCCTTACTTGTTTTAGCCATTTAGAAGTTTCCCTAAGGCTGCTTTGCACACTCCTCCAGTAACACATGTAATGTGGGTGCCACATTGTGAGTGGAGGGGAGTGTCCCTTTGTCACCCCCTGCAGAAGTGTCTCTTCAGCCTGGGGACTGAATATTCTGTCAGGGAGATTAACCACCTCTTACCATGTTCCCTCCTTTGGAGTTTCCTTACCTAAGCTATTGAAGGGGCTGTGAGAAACAAAAATGACCCTGTCAGAAATGGCAGCTACCTAGTCAACTAACACAAGAACTAATCAAACTAGAAGCATTTTGAGCTCAGCTCACCGCTGGTGGAACAGAGGCATTTGTGTACAGTGCGTGGCTGTTTCTCCAGTGCAGTGACCAGTTTGCATCTTCCCTTCAGTGCAGCCAGGGATGATTTAGGAACCCTGCTGATAGATTGCCAAACTCCCTTGGGCCTAGGCACATCTGATACGCTAGGACTGTCAAGTAAACTAATCTGAACAACAAAAAAGGAAGAAGGTGTCAAGATAATTGATGGACAACTGTGAGCCTGTGTCAGCAGACCACCAATGGTTTAACAAGTGGAATAACATCTTAGCTGAGTAAGGTCTTGGAAAGTAGGTCTGTTTAGTCGATGGTTAAAAACGTTGAGAGCCATGAGGCTTGTGCTGTGCTGTGTTGCGGGTTGGCTTTAAACTAACAGAAATGGCAACTCTTCTGGCTTCATCTGGGCATCCTTAAAACTTGTGTCTCACTAATTGGTCACTATCAGTAGTAGTAGTAGGAGTAGTAGTGCTGTTGTTGTGAAATATTGGCTATGTTTTTATTTATTTTTCATATCATTTCTCCCCCCTTTCTAACCACAATATCTTCCATCACTCCTCAGTACCAACCCGTGTTATTCTTTCTCCTTTTTTTCTGTCCCTTTTTAGTTTCTACCCTTCAGATAAAAGTGTCTTCTTCCCCTTTCCACTGCCAGTCTCCTCCTCCTGACTACAGTCACTACAGTGCTTCCACTTCTGCTGCGGCTGTTCCTCCTCCTCCTCCTCCACCTCCTCCTCCATATGCCAAAGTCATTTCATCGGCATCTCCTCCTCTCCCCGAACCTGCTTGCAAAGCCTCTTTCAGATGCACTGATGGGGCCAGGGAGTCCCCCCTGCTTTGCCACCGACATCCTGCCTCCGAGTTCCCGCCATCTCCGGGCCCTTCTTTTCCTTCAGCCTGGCCAGGCCAGCGGACTGTGACACGGAGCACCAAGCAAATCTCTTTATCGCCTCCTCCTGCCCCTGCTTCCCATTATCCTTTCACCACTCAGCAGCCTCTCAGACGTTCCTCTCTCTCATATTCTCCTCAGTCTTCCTCCCCTCCTGTGACCTTGACATCTCCTATACAAAAGGGGCTGTTCTTGCAGCCCCATATTCCAGTAGTCCTTCCTGTGATTCCTGCCCAAAATGGCAGAATCCGAAGGCCTACAGACACAGTGGTCCAAGATACTTCAGCAAATGTACCTCAACTAGATCTGAATGGCCACCAGGAAGAACGTTTTGCCACACAATTTCCTCTAAGCTCCTCTAGGACCCAGGTAAAGAGAACAGACGAGTCCTTTTTCTCATACGTAGAACCCGTGCCTGTTCCACATCTGCCCATCCTTACTGGCCCGGCTGGGCCCTATATGCAGCCCTTTTCTCGGCTCTCCCAGCAGTTGCCTCACTCGTCACACCAGTTCTATCCATCCATGTCACATTTGGTTTCATTGCCTCCTCATTACTCGGCTGTGTCTGAGGTGAATTTGTCCAAGAGGACCCCACCTTACATGACTTCATCAACCATTTCCCACTTGAGTAAGTACTTGGTTTGAAAGAATTTTAAGTTCAGAACAAAACATAAAGTGTAGTAAGCCATGTTGTTCCATCTGGGGAGGAGAAAAATCAAAATCCATAGTCAAGCAATGGCTTTTCCTTTCTCCTGGTTCATTTTCTGTCTTTCTTTGAAGAATAAATGTAAATGCCTGCAGTTAAATGTAGGGTGTAAGCTACCACCCAGAGAAATACATAGCTGGTGTTGTGTCAAGTGACATAATAATTTTGAGCCATAAACCCTGTTCGCATGCTGACTGAAGTGGGCTCCATTGCCAGCCTACCCATGTACCAGCCTTAGATGGGAGAGCCAAGGTCTATGGGAAGCCCATTGACTTGCCCCACCAATGGGGCCATGCACCAGAAAATGAGGTGAGACAGCCTCTTCGCAGTGCTGGCATCCTGGCTTTGAAATGCTCTCATCAGGCATTTTGGCCCCAGGGTGAGCCACTTCCATTTATCTTGGCATTTAGAAGCACATGGTTACTATTGCTATCAAGCTTACCATTGGTTGTTTATCTGTCTGTTTAAGGCTGTTATGGCTGCTTTGTTGTTGTTCTAATTTTCTTATTGCCCATCCTAGCATTTTTATGAAGGGCAGATTTTTATAACTAGAAACCAGTCAATTAAACCAAGTAAATGTTCACAGACTAGAACCCCATGGGTTGGCGCAGAAAATGTCATGGAGATGTCACCAAACACACATATACACATTTACCTAATTGAATGTGCTTTAGGGTCCCGTGATCTCACTTACTCCAAAAGGCCATCCAGTCTAATTCCAGTTTAGCAATAAAGAACCAGACGACCTGTTGCCCACCTGAATAGGCAGGCCTGCTGCCTACCTGACCGATCTTCCATGCTGTGATGAGACAGATGTACTGTATTTCTATTTAATTATAATCATTGTTTCTAAATTGGTACATGTAAATTAGCATAGACACACTGCTGACCTCCCTGGCCCTCTAACTTTGGGTGATTCATAAATGCCCATCCTGCTCTAAACTTTAGTGTGATGTGATCTCAAATAAGCCAGGTAAATACAGACCAGAAAAGACACCAAATGGTGGCTGAACAAAGAATGGTTAAGAAATTGAGCTGGAAGGGCGGTATCCTGTACAGCCGCTGTGCTTTCTTTCATTTTCTTGCATAAGCGGAACCAACCTCTTACCCAGCTGTTGCTCACAGGTGCAGTAAGCTCCAGCTTATTGGCCAGGTTGACTCAAATTATATTGTTTTTATATTGTGCTTATTTATTTATTTCTGTGAGCCTCCCCGAGGCTTCAGCAAATGGGGCGGCATAGAAGCTTCCTAAATAAGTAAGTAAGTAAGTAAGAGCCAAAGGAGAAATTTTAGCGATCATTTCCAGAGCAGAGCAGGTCCGCAGTACTCCATGCCCAAAGTTCTGCTGATCTGCGCCATTCTGAAAATAAAGCGTTGGTGCTTGTTTCTGGGTGTTTCTGAAACCACAGTTTCTCATTTCACCAGAGGTCAGATGCTGCCCAGAGATGACAATGGAAGTTTTCATTTGGAGGACCCTTTGATCTGTTAAGTGTAGTTCTTTATCAGCTTTTTGCTGCAGGCTTTATAGATTGCAAAGTAATTAACAAGAATTCCAGCCACTTTTGCAAATTAGAGTGCATGGTGATTTAACTGATAAAAGAAATGAAGCTATAGACAGGAAGAAATTAATCTAGTCATATGAGAAGGAATTGGCTTGTGGAAAAAAATGCATGCACCCAGAATGGAGAATCCATAAGCTGTGTAATGGAATTGTGTATGGAAAGGAACTTGAATAGTATTGCAGATCACAAATTTGAACCATAGCCAGTGCTTTCAAGGAAAAATGCTGACAGCACTACATTTCAATTAAAAAAAAAACTTTTCTCCATCTTTGCCACTACTGCTCATGTTTGAATCCTGAAGCAGAGTTGCAGCATCAGTCGTACAACCAAGAAGTCATATGACAAGCAGAGCATTCTTTATATTTCCGCTATGTAATTGTCTCCATTTATGATTATTATATTTTAAAGAAAATGCTAGGGATGTTGGAGGAATGGAGTAACGTTTAGAGAAAAGTACCCAAACTGACAGTGAGTCATAAGATGCTGAAGGAACTGGAATTGTATTCAAAATGCAGTGTACTTGACCTTAAGAAAAGATGGTGCTTGTGTGCAATAGAATGGCATCAGATATTGGAAAATAAATATTTGAGCATAATACAATGCAAAAGATGACTGTAACAAGCATTTTCATAGGATTTACTGTTAAGAAAAATGGGAAAGGGAATGTATTTAGGTGAGAGTGGGCACTGAGTGCAGCTTGGCAGATGCATCTTCCAAAGCTGCTATTGTCGATATTTCTTGTAGACACCTGCTTTCTCTTACGCATGCTGGTGATCTGTGGCTCAAAGGAGTACACTTCTAGGAGTGTCCATAGCTGTCCACTTTAGCGCCATTCTGACCTGTCCAGGGTGATCATGCAAGTGTCTAGTTCAGGGGTCGGCAACCTTTAACACTCAAAGAGCCGTTTGGACCCGTTTCCCACACAAAAGAAAACACCGGGAGCCGCAAAACCCTTTTGACATGTAAAATGAAGATAACACTGCATATATCGTCTTTTACCTTAATGCTATGTATATCTTCATAATGATTTAGCTGCAGCTCTTGTTCAGTCACTAAAAACTGTTATTTTTACTCTTACTAGTAGGACTCCTTTCATATATTTTGAATAGGAGAACAGCTTCCTGAAGAGTCAGAGTCAGTGCTAAAGGGCTGCAAACCCCATAAGTTCGTCAGCAGTAAAAACAAATGAATCTACCCACATATCATTAAACTTTTGGTTTTCTTCAGAAACTTTTCTTTTGTTTGATTTATCCATGGTTGGCCTACTGAGGGGGGATCAGTAGATCGCACATCAGTGTCTGTGCTATATAGGTGTGTTTAGTGACTGATTAGCAGATAAACAATCAAGTGCTGTGAATTGTGACAGGTCCCAACACAGCTTTTAACATTCAGGTGAAGGAGATTGCATTGGGACAAAGAGAATCTTTTCAGGAGTAACATGAGAACCTGAAGGAAGCTTGTTTAGCAGAGGAATGTAGCGATTTACTTAACTAGCTAGCACGGCACTGCATTCCTGAGTGGAGCTTTGAGCAGATGGGGGGGGGCAGGGGGATGTGCTGGTGCATGTTTTGAGCGACGGAGCCTCAGCAGAGGGGTTCAAGAGCCATGTGCGGCTCCGGAGCCACGGGTTGCCGACCTCTGGTCTAGTTACAAACTTGGACTAATATAGATTTAAGTGGGATATTAGGACAAGTTTTTACACATCCACTAGAACTCTGTTGGATCTGACCAAATGTTTATCTGTTTGAATGTTTATCAGTGGCCTTGTGCTCACATGATCAACCAAATGCTATTTAATTGTACCTGTCATGAAGTGCAGAGGTTTCAAGTGCATAACTCTTTGGACAGCAGAGCAGGTTCAGTTGGCTAAAATACATTATTGGAAGTATTTAGGAAGATTTATCTGATTGTATCTTTCAGTGATTTAGATTTGGATAACTTAACCCAATTACAGAATTGGCCACTTGAGGTAACATTTCCCCAACCTGGGGCTTCCAGATGTGTTGGATTACAGTTTCCATCATCCCCAGCCAGCTTGGTCAGCACATCTAGAGAACATCAGGTTGGGGAAGGCTGGCATGGCAATTTTCATGCAAGAGCAATATTATAGAAAATTTTCAGTGGGCCTACATCATATTGAATAGTTCAGGTAATATGGTATCTAGGTGAGAGACCATGACTGATGGATGGATCTAGGAGCGAAGTGCTTCAGGTATGGTATTCCAAGTACATAATTACTGTAATTCAAGATGGGATGGAATCAAGCAACTCTTTTTTCCTCCTGGCCTGTGTAGAGATACACTTGCGCCGCTGCTTGTCTGATGCAACATTGGCACCATGACACCTGTGATTCCTGCATACACAATATTGGCATTGTGTCCCACATGTCATGTGACCCTTCAGCCTTGCAATGGGGTTCCTACAACCTTGTATTAGAATTGTCTGCATATGGCTTGACATTCCTGTCCAAATTTTCTTGCCAGCTCCTGTGTCTCTGCACAGTCTTGGGTAAATGTGGAAGACGCTGATCTAACCTGCCTTTTGAACATTGTTGGGCACCCTTTGTTGCTTTTGGGTTCTCAGGTTCTTTTGAAGATGGCAGAACTCTTAACTATGGGGCCAATTCATGCATATCAAAGTGACTCCCATTAACGGGAATCATTATAAATACCAACCAGTTAAGAATTTTTGTTAGTGCAGTGTTTGGTTTAGATTGCAATCCTGTACACCCTTTCCTGGGAGTAAGTGCCATTGAATTCAGTGGGGTTTACGTCTGAGTAGAAATGCATAGCCTGTCATTGTCACTTGCAATCTTCAGCGTGACTTCAGCTGGGCAAGGGCAATTTGGGTGTGGAAACCAATTTCCACCTAGGAGTTGTCCGTCCATTTCAGCATGTGCAAAGGGGTATCACAGAAGGGAAGTAAGATTCACCCAGCGCTGGTACACTTAGGTTGGGCCATGGAAATACTTGGAGCTGCTGGCTCTGATTTATCATCCTCTTGCTAGACTTAGAGGGCTGCACTTCCCTCTTCCACACTCTGATGAACAGTGAACTGGCAACACTCATTTTCTGTCCAGTAGGAGGCGAGGTCTGTCTGGATCAGGGCACAAGTTCTGGGTGTTTTCTGCTGAATGAAAACCCAGGGCTGCCAAGGAACATTGTCTCATCTTGGTATAAATTTCTTGTCTTGGTATAAAGCATTTCTTGTCTTGGTATGAAACAGTATCTAACCAAAAAAAAAAAAAGCCCTAATAATGTAAAGTGAGTGAGGCAGCAAAGCTTCTCATGTCCTGGCAGGCCAAGCAGCCCAAAGAGGGAAATGATGGCCAAGCAAGGGAAGAGAAATCAGAACCTGATTTGCAGGATCAGTGGAAGCTTTTTCCTTCCTCAGCAAACCTCAAAGCAAGGGAAACTTCAGGAGTCCAGAAATTGCTGACGGTGGAGCTGGATGGGAGGGATAAGAGCTTCTGCTTACTCAAGGTTCAGAATATTTCTCAGGTGGTAGTGTATTGTGGTTATGCTCTGTGTATGTTCTTCATCTGGTAGACTGTGAGCACTCGTGAGACAGTTTCCATCTCGGCCTTTGTTTTTTGTTGCAAGCATAAGGAGCAAGTGGCAGGGGAATAGGAATGAGAAAATGTCTTGTGATTCCTGAATTATTCTTCTTTCTGTTTCCAGGCCCTGCCCTTCCAGCAGGTCACCCCTCTGCTGCTGCAGGAATGCCCACCTCGTCTGGTGGACCACCCCCTCCGCCACCCCCACCGCCTCCTCCTACAGGATCAGTGCCTCCTCCTCCTCCCCCACTGCCAGCAGGGGGTGGCGGAACTGGCACTGATGACGGATCCGTGTCAGGACTAGCGGCGGCTCTGGCTGGTGCCAAACTAAGGAGAGTACAACGGGTAAGGAGGCTCGTTGGACCACACAGGATTGGGATTGGAAGCTGGGACCCAGAACCCCTGGTTTCATTCAGCAGGGCTTTGGTTCACATAGTTCTGGTGGGTGCCGCATAACCTGCAGGGACTTGACAGCTATGCTTGTTTTAGGGTGTTTTGTTATGATGACCAAAGCCAGCATGGTTTCTCGGCATGATTTGTGACACACACACAACCCACCCTCAGAATCTGTGGCTTGTTCTTGGGTTGTTTTCAAAGTCAAATTGTGTGACGTGTGATCCAGGCACAGTGGCTTGTGGGTGGCTTGTTGGAGGGCATATAGAGGGAAAACAAACCACAGTAACTTACTTTCTATAATCCTTGTGTGCTGGTCATGAGCTGCCTAATTAGCATAATTGCCCTTGCCAGACATGGTTTGTCATGACATCTGAACTAGGTGAGGTTTAGCGAGAAATGGAATTCAAGTTGCTTTGTAAACCATATCAGCCAACCACCCTTTACTGAGTTTGGACATCACAACAACCCACACCTGTCATGGGTAATTAAGTTAAATGAGCAGCTTGTGACTGGCCCACACCAGGAGAGAAAACAATCCACTGTGGCTTATTTTCCCTCTGTGACTGTGCAAATCCAGTCAGAAAGAGCAACAGAATTGACTGGTAAGAGTGGCAGAAAAAGCATTTGCTAGTCGAGATGCCAAGGCATGAGGGGACGGCATATAAAAGTTATTTTATATATATATAGTCATGTTCTATAGTCATCCTGCTCTCCTTCAGCACCTCTCTGGACAGCAATGCCTTTTCTGCCTACCTTTCCGCAGATTTGCACAGATTTAACATTTTACTCCCTTCAGGAAGATTTGCTCAGATTTGCTAAATCACAGTAACTGAAACATAGTAGTTATGCAGCTTTAGCAAATTTGTGTAAATCTCCCCAGAATTTTCTTTTAAAGTTACATTTATACAGATTTCTCAAAGGTGATAAAGTGTGTGTAAAATCTCCCCTAAGATATCTTCCCCCCACAGAAAAATTTGCTATGTGCAGATCTTTTCAAAGATGAAAAAGAGGGCACAAAATAACCTCAACTGCACCTAAAGAGCATGCTTACGCTAGTTAGTGTAACTGTAATTAGGTTACTGAGGTTATGCCACAGAGGCCCCTGGGATGCATGCCAGAAGTGGCCAGGAGGACTAAGGGGGAAACAAGACATGGCGCACTTAGGAGAGCCTGATTACCTGTCGGGAATAACCTACTTGGTGAGCAAATGACTGACCCGCTCCAGTATAAGGTATTTCCAAGGCAGCGTCCGTCACCTGGCCCATTATGCCTTTACAATTCAGGAGTTTTTTGGTTGGGCTCCAGATTTAGTCAACAAGCAAACCCATTGAAATCCATGACTGATTTAGCATTTCAGGGAGAAAATCGCTCAGATTCGCCACAAGCTTGACTCTGCTATTGAATCAGGTTCTACTGGGGAGACGCCATCGACGCCGTCGAGTCCACAATTAATGGATGAATTTCAGTTGTTGTGGCCTGATGATGTGGACAAGGTGCTTGGACAAGTACATCCTACCACTTGCTTACTAGACCCATGCCCATCTTGGCTACTTAAGAAAGCCAAGGACGGGATTGGGACCTGGATCCTGGAGGTAGTCAACGCCTCTTTAAGAGACGGCCGGGTACCTGCCCCTTTAAAGGAGGCGGTAGTCTGGCCAGTCCTAAAGAAGGCATCCCTGGATCCAGAGGTGGCCGCCAATTATAGACCGGTGGCCAACCTCCTGTTCCTGGGCAAGGTGCTAGAGTGGGTGGTGGCGGGACAACTCCAAGCACTCTTGGATGAAACTGATTATCTGGACCCATTTCAGTCCGGCTTCAGACCCGGGTACGGCACTGAATCTGCCTTGGTCGCCCTGTATGATGACCTGTGCAGGGAGAGAGACAGGGGGAGTGCGTCCCTGTTAGTTCTCCTGGACCTCTCAGCGGCTTTCGATACCATCGACCATGGTATCCTTCTGAAGAGGCTAGCGGGATTGGGAGTTGGAGGCAGTGGTGCCGCTCCTATCTCAATGGCCGATTTCAGAAGGTGGTGCTGGGGGACTATGTCTCTGCGCCATGGCAGTTATGCCATGGAGTTCCGCAGGGGTCCATTTTGTCCCCTTTGCTATTTAACATCTACATGAAACCGCTGGGAGAGGTCATCAGGAGGTGCGGGCTGCGGAATCATCAGTACGCTGGTGATACCCAGCTCTACCTCTCGTTTTCCACCAATCCAGGTGAGGCAGTGGCTGTGCTGAACCAGTGCCTGGCCTAGGTAATGGGCTGGATGAGGGCCAATAAACTGGAGCTCAATCCAGACAAGACGGAGGTCCTGTTGGTGGGTGGCTCGGGCCTCGGGATGGGGGACTTTGGCCTTGTCCTAAATGGGGTTGTGCTCCCTCTGAGGGACAGGGTTCGCAGCTTAGGAGTGCTCCTCGACCCTGAGCAGTCTCTAGAAGCTCAGGTGACGGCGGTGGCGAGGAGCGCCTTCCTTCAGCTTTGGCTGATACATCAGCTGCGTCCTTTCCTGGAGAATGACTGCCTGGCGACAGTGACACACACGCTGGTAACTTCCCAATTAGATTTCTGTAACGCGCTCTACGTGCAGCTACCCTTGAAGATGGTCCGGATACTTCATTTGGTGCAGAATAGAGCTGCCAGGTTGCTGACGGGGACTGGGCGTTGTTCTTATATAACCCCAGTTCTCTGTCAGCTCCACTGGCTCCCGATTGAAGTCCGGGCCCAATTCAAGGTGTTGGTTATGACCTATAAAACCCTAAATGGCTTGGGACCTGGATATCTAAAGGAACGCTTGCGTCCATATATGCCCTCCTGCCCCTTGAGATCAGCAACAGATGCCCTTCTCCGGGAACCCTCTGTGAAGGATATTAGGAGGGTGAGTACCCGGAGGAGGGCTTTCTCTGCGGTGGCGCCCCACCTATGAAATGCGCTCCCCAGAGAGGTCCGCCTGGCGCCATCGTTATTTGTTTTTCGGTGCTAGGCTAAGACCTTTTTATTTAAAACTTACTTTAATTGCTAAATTAATGTATTAATTAGGATTTTAACATTTTTAGCCGAGAATGCACCAGGGGTTTTTAAATGTTGTTGTTGTTATTGTTGTTTTTTCTTTTAATTGTTATATTATTATTATTGTATGTTTTATGTATTCTTTGTGAGCTGCCCCGAGGCTTTGTTGCGATGGGGGCGGCATAGAAATGTTTTAAATAAACTTAAATAATAAATAAATTTACTTCTCATTGATTTCAGTAGGTCTACTCTAAATATATCAATATCTGGATCCACTAAGTTTAGTTGCAAAGTGGACATTCATTGGATTATTTCATTCCCAAATCAAAGACAAACGCACATACTATGAAGCTAACACATCGAGCAAAACAAATCAGATGTTAGCAAGACGCCATCAAGGTCCTTGCCATAGTGAACTGTACAACAATACCCACAAGGTGTTTCAACCACTGCTTTCTTGAAAGCGTTGGTGTTGCTGTGCTCCTTAGATTTTTGGCTCCCTTCCTCTCCACTGCTGTGTGATCGGATGCCTTGTGTCCAGGCATTCTAAAGTGCTGGTTTCTGTCTTAAAAGCCAGAGGATGGATCAGGAGGATCGAGTCCCAGCGGAGCTTCCAAGAGCGACGCCAATCGGACAAGCAGTGGAGGAGGAGGGCTAATGGAAGAAATGAACAAACTCTTGGCAAAAAGGTTGGTGGTTCTGACTGCTGCCTGCAGGACCCAAGGGATTGAAGGTTTTGCCTTGCCCGTGAGAAGCATCGTCTTGGGCTTCCTTTCCCAACAGTTTCAGGAAGCCTAGAGAGGAGGGTTGCCCATGGTGTGTCTATGTCAGCCCAGGAGACTCCAATTGCTCACCTCCAATGTAGCAAGACAAGAATGCCTGTCCCTGGAGGTTTTCAGAGCAAAGATCTGTCCAACTCTGTTGCTCTCAAGATACCAGTGTCAGAGTTTCCTTAAGAGTAACCTCAGTGGCTTTTTTTATGTGGACTATTTGTTATCTAGTGTCAGTTCTTCACCAGGGAATCAAGCTGTTACCCCTTGCCCTTTCAGAAATAAAAAATCCAACCTTTGGGGAAAAAATAGCACATATGAACTAATAAGTTTTCTGAAGTGTAGAAACAGTGGGTGTCTTTTTGAGGACCAGTTTATAGTCTCTCTTTCACTCTGTCCTAAGGAGAAAAGCAGCATCACAGTCGGACAAGCCAGCTGACAAAAAAGAAGAGGAAAGCCAAAATGTAAGTAAACCACCCTCAAATTCTGTGGAGGTTTCAGCAGTGAAAAATGTATCCCAAAGCAGTGTATCTTCAGCTATAGTAAATGTATTCAATTGTTGTGAAACATCCAGAGTGCTTTAGCTGTGGGGCAGTATAGAAAAGTAATAAATGGAATAAATAGATAAGCAAAGCCAAAAGGGCACTGCGGCAGATGTCAATTCACTTTGTCATAATTCCGATATACAGGAGAAAATACACTTGATTGAACAAAAAACCTTCTGAAAACTTACAGAGTTGAGAAACCAGAGCTTCTCCTTTAACTAGAATCATAATGCTGGGAGCCAAGTGTGCTTTGTGACAAAACCAGGCCTTTTCAGTCCCAAAATGAAAGGCTGAAGTTCTTGGACTAGATGAGCCTTACCATTAGCTGCTGTTCTTACACTGGTGGGTTGGATGAGAGAAGAAGGGTGAGCAGGCGATTAAGGTTCCAAAGGTAGTGTAGTGAACCCTAGTCCACAAGCCAGGATAGTTTTTTGGAACCGTATCAAAGCCTTACAGCCTTCATCTTCTTAGGAGAGTGCCAGAGATAATTGCCATGGAGATGCCTTCCTCAGACATTATGTTGGGTTATCTTGGAAGCAAGCAGGGTCAGAATCTTGATGGGAGACTTGAATCCTGCATTGAACAGTTGGTTGGACCCGATCACCTGCTAGGCCCTTTCCAACCATATGATTCTATGATTTGTTGCAAAGATGAGCCTTCGCTTTGACCCTCCCACACCATCTGTTAGGAAGTGGATTCAGATTCCAGGTATACTGACAGCCTCTTCCCATCCATGGCAAGAGACACTGTCCTTTGTTTTCTGCATGGGGAGACGAATTGATGGTTTGCTTGCCCAGGCAACTTGGGAGGCCCACCAAGCACCCCCTGCCTGCTTTAGGAACCAAAAGGGCTGCAGAATCAGGGAGTATAAGATCTCTTTTCCTCATGTGGTCTCTGTAGCCATCTTTCATCATAGCATATCATATTTAACACAAATGCTTTTTTTCCATCCTAAGTATCCTTGAATCTGGAAGTTCCAGATTCTGGTCCTGGATGGATCAGGTCCCTGGGTTAATACATGTGATTATATGTTTTAGCTCAGTCATGCAGTAGAGACCCTCTGGAATTGGGTCACATTGCATGTCTCTCTGGGTGTGCACCTCACCCTGAGAGACACCCAGCCTCTGCTCATTCCTGCAGGGTGTTCCTGCTTGAGATGGCATGCAAAAAAGAGCCCCCGGGCTATGGGGCAGCATACAAATACAATAAATAAAATAAAATGAATACATTCAGTCTTTCATGAGCTCAGCACAGGGTGCTGGTTGTCATTTGATGGAGGCAGCTTGTTTTCCTGCAACTTCATTGCACCAAGGAAGTCAAATTCAGGGCCCAAAATTAGACTTGATGGTGCAGTGGGCAGCATCATTCTATTTGTTGTTGTTTTTTTTTGTTTGTACTATTTCTGTACTACTAATTGTTAAGAAACACCCTCAAGTATTTTATATATACATATTAAAATCACAATTAGAATCACATTTAAAATACAATGTTAATAGCAATAGAATTAAAATAATAAAAATAGTTTCTAACATTATAATATGCCTACATAAGAGCTGCTAAAAGAAGCCTTCGACCTTTAAGAGACTTGGAAGAGGCCTTGCTGGCATTTTGGCAAGCCAAAATGATCGGAATGCCACATACAATAGCTGCATGGCAGAACTTTTTGGTAGTGGCAATCACCCTGTGGAACAAAACTCCCAGTTTGGGAGGCAGAAAATTTGCCATCTTTTGAATACTTCTGAAATACTTTTGATGTACTTCTGAAAACACGCCATTCCCAGGTGCTCTCCCCTCCAAGCTCATCCAGCCTTGAACCTGCTAAGCTTCAACACCGTGGACGCCTTAGGTGCCTCTCTTCTATTTTACTGATCCTGTACTGTTCTATATCATCAGCATCCTATTATTTTTTAAATTGTGTTTTAAATCTGATCCTACCTTCTGAACCACACTGCTAACAAAAAATGCCCCCTGAAGCTGCTGTCTGGCACAGAGAGACAATTCCCAGTAGTGTCACTGGGAGATTCCATGCCGTGCCAAAACAGCCTTGTTGGAGGCAATGAAGGGGGACACCATTTTCATTGGTACTTTTAGCGTGCCATTTAGATAGACTAAATTAAATAATAGCACCCAAACTCATATGCTTGGGCCTGCAGAGAGTTCTCTCTCTGTATTTAAAAGTTTTCTGCACTGCTTTTCACTAAAATTTCTAAAAGTAGACAACCCCAAGCAAAATGCAACTTCAAGCACTTTGCTTAGCATATTTCTAATTTTAGAAATGTTAACTAATTGCAGACCAGCAGAGCAGAAAACATCTTAACCCGCTTACCAAGTGCCCAGTGGGGGAAAACATGTTGCCACATTCCTCCTCACAAGACAACAGGAACCCATTGTGCTCTGGCAGTCAGCCTGCTGCATGTTCCAGGTTGAAGTGAAAAGCACATCTCTGAACAGGCCAGTGAGCCATGCAGGCAGCCTTCTCCGGGTTCTGCTCCCTGTCTTTCAAGCACACTTTTTGTGCACCAGAGGATAAGATCAACATGGAATTGCAAGGAAGGGTGAGGGGTCGTGCTCACAGAGTGCAGGGTCTTGTATAGGCTGACTGCAATACCCCTGCACCTGTAATGTTCCTGTACCTTTGATTTTGATTCCACTTTACAAGTAAATTTTATTCTTGACAGACATCTCAGGGAGGAACCATAGCACAGTGGCAGAGTGCAGGCTTTGAATGCCAGCAGTCCAGTCCCTGGCATTTCTAGTTCAACGGATCAGATGCTGGAGAGACCCTGCCAGTCTGCAGCCCTAAGGTGGAAGGACAAACAGTCTGGCTTCATAAGAGATTTCATCCTATGTTACAAATGAGTCGCAGTAAAACTGTTCTCATAAGTGCCAACATTTATCCAGGCCCAATGTGCTTGGTAAACAAAATTTTCCTTCTTGGAAGTAATCAATAACTTGTAGAAGTGAACTCCTTGGCTCTAACTCTATTCATTTTACCAATATGGTGGGCTTGAAAGCATTTTACCACTTCCAAGAATAATTTCTCCCCTGCTCATGTGCTGGATTAGTGCTTCTCTTTCTCTCTTAGTTTCATGGAACTTCCTGTGTTTTTCAGGGGGACCGTCTTTATTGAGCCACGAAACTGGCTGTTCCTATTCTTGCACCAAAGGAAAGCAAGTCTGGGCAAATTGCAATGGAGTGGAGGAAAAATGGGTGCTAGTCTTCTAACCAGTTAGCCTCATTTGGCCATTTAAAATGGTGTGGCCATTGCTTTAGCCCTACCAGGGAGCTAGGGTCTGTATGCAGATTAGAAGAGGGAGTTCGGCTTGAATGGCTGACAGGAAGCTTCGACAAGCCTAGTGAGTGGTTTGGCAGAAAGTGTGAAGATAAGTGAAAGAGGTGCAGAAGTGCCTGTGGTTGGATGCACTTATTCAGAAGGGAGGCAATGTACGTGATACATTTTGCACCCATGAAACCTCCGTACAGTTGCATCTTCAGTTTCTAGGAGCCTACTTTACTTGGTAGGAGCTTTCCAAGGTCTTAAACTGGAAGCATTTACTTACTGGAATCATTTACTTACCCTACAACCAATATTAAACCTTTGTTTCGTTGCTTGTTTGTTTACTGACTGTGCCTCTAAACTTTCTGTATGGTGTACAATACACTAAAAACATAGGGTACAAGGATTAACAGTAAAACAAACAAAAATAAGAACAGAATGAAACCACCTCAACTAAACAAACATAGCTTTGAACCATTCAGCAGTTAAAGACACTGTTAAGCAGAGTACTTCCTGGTGGAGGAGTCCAAAAGTATCATCCAGCTCGTATGTTGTCTTTTCCTGTTTAATAATGAGAAAAGAAGGTGTGGTGGGAAAATATGAACATAAGACACTTCCTGTAACAGACTGTAATGGAGGCACAAAGAAGCCTTCTCTTGAAGGACCCAAAACATCTTTCAACTTTGTCTGCTTTGTACAATGTTAATGTTCTACAAATAAGGAAATTATCCTCTTTATGTGAAAGATAATTCCATGCATGCGTTGGAGCGGGTTGCTCTGTAAGACAGACCAAAACAAATGAAGCCTGCAGAGAGGAAAGTACCCCAAAGGGTGTTTTGCTGCTGATCTTTATGGGTCAGAGGACCTGATCCTGAGTCAGCAGCCCGAGGAAGAAATACGTTAAGTTCTTTGAACAGTTACACTGAAACCTGATGTGCTTCTTCTTTTAGGAAGATGCAAGCACCTCCCCTTCACCTGTTACACGAGGTCCTGTTCAGCAGCAGAATTCTTCAGGTATTCAATCATTATTTGTTGTCTTCCCTTCAAAACTGGTCACTTCAATGGTTAAAATTGAGTTCAGGGCTTCAGGTGCCAAAGTGGGAAATGGAGAAGATTGTAATAGGCAGAATGTAGAAGTGGCAGGATGCCTGAGCTTTCTGGGTGGTCTGTCCAAGGGATACAGGTCCTCCTTTCCTGGCATTGTCACAGTATACACTGAGATGCTCGGTCAAGACGAGCAGATACGAATCTTTAGTTTCAGCTCTGATTGTTTAATTTGCTGGCTGGAGCATCCTGGGAGGTATAAGCCTTTTTCTCTCTAAACTTCCATAGGATTGCCCCTTTAAGCATGCAGTTTTTCTATATTTTCATTGTTATATCCATTGTTACTTGGATTCTGTTATTGTTTTGGATTATTTAAGAGAAATTATTTTAACCACCCAAGGGCATTTGCAAATGAGGTGGTATATAGATTTTAGAAATAAATATATATCCTGGGCACAGTACATCTGGGAGTGGCCATCTTCATCACTTAAAACACCCTCTATCGACCAATGCAAATACCCTTTTTGCCTGAAAGACATATTAAGGCTTTAGGGTTTATTTAAGCCAGCTGAATCCCTGTCAATCTCAAGGCAGCCAGCATGCTCCAAATTGCACAGACCGGGACGTTGCAATTTATTTCCTCATCCTTATTTTCTGAGAACATGTCCTTTTGTCAGTACTGAGGAAGAGCCAGGTTGCTGTTCATTACTTGGTGATTTGCCTGAAGAATATTGTTTTGTAGAACACCTGCTTCCCAATAGCTAAGTGAGAGCCAGTGCAGTGTCATGCTTAAGAGGGCAGAGCTGGGACTCATGAGATTTGGGTTCAAGTCCCCATCCATTCATGGAGCTCCCTGGGTGGCTTTGGGCCAGTCGTAGACTCTTGGCTCAACCTACATCACAGAGCTCTTGAAGGACAAGATTGAGAGGAGGAGAAGTGTTATGTAAGCAGTTTTGAGTTCCTTTAAAGGAAAACGGGGGTATAAATATAATAAAATAAATAAAAATAAATCCTCTAATGTCTTAAACTTAATGTCTTGAAAAATAGATAACCAATCACAATGATATATTCTGGAAGGTTAACTTTTAAGGCTGGAATCCAGTTTAACTTTTTCTGCTGGCAAAAACAGTTCTCTCAGTGGAACTGGGAGGGAAGGAATTCCCCCTGCCCACTGAGAATCCCCAAATCTGCTCCAGATTTTGAGGGTTTTCATGGGGGAGGGGGACTTCTAGAACAGATGTGGGGGACTTCCAGGGCAGATTACAAGGGATACAGAGGGATGGAGAAACCCCTTCTTCTGCTCACACAAAGTTGGTGCAAACTGGCTTTCTGCCGTGACATTTTCCAGACAGTTTTGACTTTAAAAACAGGATAGGGAATCTGTATCCTTATAGAAATTGCCATATGCCTCTCCTGCTGGCTGGGACTGAAGGGACTTGGGGTCCAGTAACTTGGAGCCAGGCATTCCCCTCCCAGAGTTAAGATGTGCTTTCTTGTAAAACTTCTGTACGTGAGCAGGCATGAGGCAGAACTGCAGGTTTAAAAACAACTCACATCTTAGAACGTGAGATGCTGTTCCACAGCGGATTCTCTTACCACTCCAGGGGTATGTGGAAGGAGCCACCCACAGAGACATCTGTTTGAACAAGAAGACACCTGCGACTCTCAGAGAAGCGGTGTCCTCCCACCCAAACCCGTCCATCTCACATTGTGCCCTCCACTCCAGAGTCTCTACTCGGGATATTACCGATGCGGGGGAAAGCAAGTCATATAAGCTTGCCACAAGCCAGTTCTTTTGAACCTAGAACCCTCCTGATGCATCGGACTGCAACTCCTAGCATGTCCCAGCTGTTGTTAAAAGCCCAAAGTAAGAATTTCCTGCTTGGTTTCTCCCAGAGCAAGCAGATTTAATTTTTCAGCATTCGCTTAACGCATCCTTCTTTGCTACCCTTTGAATTGTGCTAATTCTTTAGCAGAATTGTCATTAGCCTAGATCTGTTTGTTTGGGGTTTATCTCTCTGGAACGTCTGTTCCTTTTAGAGGAAGGAAGCTATGCATCAAGTAAAGCAAAATCAGATTTTTTGTTATGATCACACTGAAACAAAACCCCAACACCTAAACTCCACAATCAAACGTATTGTCTTTTATTGTTTTATGCTGTTTGTTTTAAACAGATGCTGGGAAAAAGCCTTGGGAAAGAAGCAACTCTGTGGAAAAACCTGTCGCTTCGTTACTCTCCAGGTGAGCTGCGGAAAAGCCTTTGTAGGTTGACCACCTGCATGAATTGGACTCTGTGCATGATGCTTCTCTGTGTGCTCACATCATGTCCTCTCTCATTCCATTGCCATAGAAACCCATCATTGGGGAGAAGTCCAGAACCTAAGAGCCCCATTCAGTTCCAAGCATCCTTTAGGTACTGAAAAACTGCTCTGGCTTCTCTGTTGCATCTTGGCTTTTCCTTTGAACAATCATGTAATTATCCATTCATCAGCTAACAATTTTCCTGCAGCTCATGACTCTTTTCACTGCTGTGCTGTATCACAAACGGTGATTTCAATGAGGTTTGCACTGCAGCTCTGTTTATATATAAACAGGAACCATAAAGGGTTGCAAGGGTTCGGCCACTTGTGTTCTCTGCCTTGCCAGGCTGAGCGGCAAGACCTGAAGGTCGTTTTGAGGGTGGGTACAGCTTTCAGTGAGACTGGGGCACTCTGGCTTATCGGGGCTCCCACTTGCATGCATGTGGATTGGGGGGTGGTCCTGCTTGCACTCAAATGAGTGTGAATAGAAGCCCTTCTCAATCTTGCTGCTCAAGATGGGATTTGGAGGCGTCAGAAATGGTGCAGGGAGCACGGTGACTCTCCCCTTTGTTGGGGCATAATTCCTCAAAAGGGATAATGCTTTGCTTGGCTCTGTGAAACATACAGATCCGTAGTTGGTTTTGCAACAATTCAGTACGTCTAAGAGCCATCCTGAACAACCCCAGCCCCACGCCATGCTTCCCCTGGGTAGCTGGTGTGTGGTAGCAACCTGCATTTAAGCCATTGTGTTAACCTTGCCCACTTGCTGTGATCCAGATGAAAATATATCTCTGTGAAGCTGCATTATGGCATGGGAGCGAAGCTACCATGGGTGTCCTTGGCAGCATCTTTTCCATGCTCCATAGCAGCTGTTGGGGACACAAGATTTCTCAGAACTACCATGCAGGAGGAATTCAAGCTGCTTTTTCAAGTTTAAGAAAGAATCGGACAATACCAAACTTGACATTTAATGTAAGGTGTATTGTGACCCTCAGGAAAACAACTTCCCAACTCCTGAACAAGCTCCCTCCATCTCCTTGGGAATACCCCTTAGATTTCAGGCAAGTCTGTGCAGAGTTAACCCATCCTCAAATAGATCGAATGTGGGTGCAATTGTTCATCCTGGAAAAGTCTGCAGAGAGTCCCCATTCCAGAAAAATAGAAAAATATGTGCTGTGATAGCAACAGAACCCATTTCCTATTGCATGGCACTTTTTCTGTGTGTGCAGTAAAAAAACCAGCTGCTGGTAGATATCCAGATGCCCTTCTAATGACCTTAATAAATGGGTACCTTTCTGGTCTCTTCCAAAGCTTTTACCAGAAGTAGCACTGGGTAGATTAAAAGCCAACATTGGCTTGCACTCTACAGGAGGAAGAAAGCTCAGCTCTCGAAATGTGCACAGGAAGCTGTCCTTCCTTGGATATGGGCCAGAACAGATATCAGTGGACCCCATGAGTTTGAAGATGGGTTGCTAGTTGTGCAGTGCTGTGTGTTTCGTCCATGCAGGAGGATTCACCATGTTTTGCCCCTTACACACACACACACACACACACACACACACACACGTCATGATCGGGTCCTCGGTCCAGTGAATGACTGGTGACTTGCACGGTGTGCCGACCATGCAGTGCCTTCATTGCATAATTGGTGCGCACTGCGTAGCCCATGCCAGATCATGCAAAAGCAGGTCATATAACATGGCTCTGCTTCACCTTCCTGACAGAGATCTAAGGCCGTTGCTTGCACACTGCCCAGAATTGGCCACATGAGGTCTCCCTGGCTCAAGTATTGGAATGAGTGGTGACCATTCATTTGGGCAATTGAAGCTGGCAGTTGCAAGCACAGATGATAGTGCTCTTTTGTGAGCACATCAGTCCATATGTGGCTAGAGCACAGGTGGTTTCATGGGAAAAACAAGGACAGGTGTGCATGGAGGAAGAGAGAGTATTTGCAAAATATGCAAAGCAGGCATCCTAGCCTGGGAGCCTCTGCAAGTTTAGCATAGTAAAATATTAACAGCAGTGAAAGGCTCTGCAGAAAAGTAGTCATGGAAACTATCTGGATTAGCATTACTGATTCAAAATCCTCACATGCAGGGATGCATTTCGGCTTGCTGCTCCTGCGTCCGAGTGCATTTTCATTCTGGGAATGGGAACATTTTGCAGTGATGCGGATGGCAGATATGGCTTAATGCTGCTTGCTTCGTAAGATCACACCAGATGCTGAAAGATGCAATAGGGCACCATGCAGGTCTGGGGCAATTAACTACTCATGAGCTGCTTCCACTTGCTTCTGTGCACCTCTATGCGTAACAAATAATTTCTAACATGATGTCTTAATAGAACTCAACCGGTGGCTTTGGAAGGCAGCAGAAAATGTATTTTTCTTTTATCTCTCTTTCCCGAGGATGAAGCCGGCAAGCAGCAGCAACGATGTGGCAATGGATACCTTAGATTTTGATCGCATGAAACAAGTGAGTCTGGGGTCCATCCACTGAAGCACATCCATCAGTTCATTCTCTTGGTGTCCAGGAAAAGCATTGGCTTGCTCTAAATGGGAAACTACTGGGTCAGGCATGTTGCTCAGTGTTGTCTCTTCTGATCGACAGCATAACGCGTAAACAGGTGTCTCCCGTATCACCTGCCACAAGATCCCGGGGCATCTGCTGCTCTGTCACTGAGCTTTGGGCGGTATCCAGCAATGACATACCGCAAACCCAGGTAGCTCTAGCAGAGCTCTGTTGAAGCTTTCCCTTGTACAAGCAATCATTGTAAAATACACTACAGTTTGCATTTTTTTAAAGCCAGGGATGAGTTTAAGCTTGAACAGACCCTGAACTTTCCACAAATTGGAGAGTGGATGCCTGGACTGTGTGCTGATCAGGAAATTTAAGGTGACTGTGCTCTATAGTCTGTGCATGTACAGCGAGAGGAGGATGCTTCCACGCTTCTCTTAGCCAGAATAACAAGGACTCAGTCAACCCTGATTTCTGCAAATCACATTTTGTACAAAGTGTGCTAGTGAGATACCATTATAAGATCCAAATCTGTGCAAATATTTTCAGCAAATTGGCAGACACTGGACCGTGCCCCCACACAACCTGGCCCGCTTTGAGCTGGCAGATTGAAAATGTTTTGGAAGTCCCATGGAATGCAAACAGAATTAGCTTCTGGTGCTGAATATTAATTATTACTATTTCTATCTGGTCTTCCTTTTTTCCTTTGAAAGGCATCCAAGAAAGCTTACATTGTCGTCTTTATCCTCGCAACAGCCCTGTGAGGTAGGATAGATGGCAAGTCAGTGACAGTCCAATGTCATCCAGTAATCTTCATGGCCAAGTGGGGGCTTGAACCCTGATCTCCTGAAACCTAGTCCAGCTCTTTAACCACTACACTGCACTGGCTCTCAATCACACATGTTGCACAGGGAGTTGCACAAGTGAAGTGCATGCCGAGTTATGCACCACCACGGAACCACTCACACAGCCATGCTTGTACAAATGATCGCTGCACATACCTCAGAATGGAATAACAGGGTTGGATACAGCCCTGTGGTCCCCCCACAGGTGCCATTGGCTGGCCAGGTATGAGAAAGTATCCTGGTTCTGCCTGGCATAGAAAAGAGCTCTCTCCTACTCTTGCCTGTTTCGTGACACCTGAAGAAAGCACCTGAATAAAGCAGGTGGGGTTATTTATGCAGTTACTATAGAAAGCCAGTGTGGTGTAGTGGTCAGGAGTGCAGGACTAAGACCCAGGGGATCTGGGTTCAAGTCCGCACTCATCCATGGAACTCAGTGGGTGACTTTGGACAGGCCACAAACTCTCAGCCTGACCTACCTCACAGGGCCGTTGTTGTAAAGATAAGCTTGATGGGGGAGAATTATGTATGTCACTTTGACTTCCTTGAAAGGAAATTTGATCAATCAATTACTTTTCTCTCTCTCCCCCCCTCCCCAGGAAATATTGGAGGAAGTTGTAAAAGAGTTACACAAAGTAAAAGAAGAGATTATTGATGGTAAGATGTAGGGGGAAATGTCTTCTTGCAAAGGCCTTTGCTTCAAGGCAGGGAGGGGAGAGCTTTCCTTGTGCGTTCACAGTTTTAAATCAATTAGAAAGCTGTGGAGTGTTTACTGTGCGTATTACTAAAATACCTTAGTTCCAACATGGAGTGCATGTGAAAGAGAAAGAGGCTGGCCATACCTACATGGAACATCTATTAGTTCCATAGCACCTTAGCACCCTAGTTTCACCACCCCACCCTCTGGTCCGGTGTTGGGAATCCCAGACTGCTGAGAGTACTGAGAATTCCCTGTTAGGATTATGCAGCTCAGGACCCATACAAAATTATGCTTCCTAAGCTCTCTTGTCTTGTTTTGGATTGTTTGGAGGAGAGCACTGCGAAGACCCTAGACTGACAGAAAAACAAGTGGGTCCTAGAGCAAATCAAGCCAGAGCTTTCCCTAGGAGCAAAAATTATGAAGCGAGTTAGACTGTGGGCACATCATGAGAAGGCAAAACTGCCTGGAGAAGACAGTCATGCTGGGAAAATGGAAGACAGAAGAAGAAGACCAAGTAGGAGATGGATCAGTTTAATAAAGAAAGACGCCGCCTTGAATTTGCAGGACTGAGCTGGGTGGTCAAGGGCAGGGCATTTTGGAGGGCTTTTGTTCATAGGGTCACCATAAGTCAGGGGCAACCTGACAGCACAGAACAAGAACAAGCTCCTTTGTGAGCAGGAGAGGCTGTCAACCAGGTTTGAATCTGTTGTGTAAATGCTCTCAGAGAGACTAGGAGACAAACACTTGCAACAGTCTTTTTCTCCATCTTGGTCTAAATTGTTATGCATCCAGCACCGCATGAAATGCACGAGGACTGTAGGTCCTCTCCTCTTATGAAAAACAGCTTTCCCACCCTTTTTGCAGCACACCTTAAACACACAACCTGGGCTCAGTGGTAGTTAGAGAAACACAACACTAGTCTTGGCACTTTTCCAGAACAACTCAGGACGACAAGATGACTGTCCCAAGTATTATTCAAGATATTCCTTAAAGAGAAATAGAAGTTTATCCTTCAGTAACAGTGTTTACCCCCAGCTGCTCACTTGAGGGGTGTCTGTTGCTCTCCAGCTTTGCCATTTCCATAGACTAGGCCCGTCTGTAGGAGCAGGAGTCACCAAGCGGCAGGCCCCTTCTGACAATCCAGACATCCCAGTTCTTCGTGTCTCACCCCACTTCCCCCTGCATAGAGCACACACCTGAAAGTGGAACTAGCATCATAATCTAGACCGGAATTTGCAAAGACAAGGAATCCCACATGTAAACAAGTCTTTCCATGGTTAAGAATGCTGGTTAAGAGGCAGCACGGGGAAGAGTTTCTTCTGGCATGCCGGTTCCATGTTAGCTCCCTTTTGTCCTAAACCTGCTCCATCGTGTTCATACTGTTTTCCCAGGGTGCAATTTACATCGTTCTTGCATTGATGCTGCTTCTACATTTAAGCTTTTAGCCTATTCCTGGTATTTATTTATTTATTATTTATTTATTTATTTATTAGAACATTTCTATGCTGCCCCTTGCCGTATCAGTCAACAGCCTCCAGATCAAGTATGAGTTTGCGGTGCTATCATGCCTTAACCACAAGGTTTGGCTTACGGCTTTTTCTTTTTCCCCCACCAGCCATCAGGCAGGAATTGAGTAGAATCAGCACAACATAATGGCCATGGAAACATACAGAAGTTAAAAGGATACGGAAGGCAACTGGATCATTTCTAAGTGTACCAAGATCATGCAAGATGGTGAAAGAGGACACCTGGCACTGTCTTTTGTTCCTAAATCCTTTTTATTAGCAGACTCAGCAGACTCTGAACCTTGCTGCTGCCTTGGATTTGCTTCATTTAAAAAAAGAAAGAAAAAAAGTCTTAAAATCTTAAAAAAGAAAATATTGAAGTTTAAATTTCTGGATTTTTTAAATTTCATCTGACAATGCACATCAGATTTGGTCAGCCTTTTTTGTATTTTGTATTTGCTTATTTAAATGTATGACATTTTTCTTTTTAGTATATAGTAGGTAAGGAAACACGTGAACCATTTGCTTTTACTAGATGACTTCAAAGTAATTTTACTGGTAGCCTGCAATGTAAATGAAGACCTTTTTGCCAACAGAATCTCATTTGTGGCATTACCAGTGGAGGCCGAAAGATGCCAGCCGTCAGCCAGTCAGTCCCTGGTCTCAGAGCTGTCACAATATTAAAGCGGTACATCAGTGCATCACAGCATCTGTGTTCATATTGGTAATAAACTGTTCATTGTCCACGTGCCATTGGTTGTCCTTTCTTTTATGTTTCTACCAAGGACTCTGGCTCCACTTTGTGACTGTATATTTATCATTAATGTCAGGATAAAGTTCTGCGAAATTTGTGTTGATTTGTATATGAGAAGAATGGACCTGGCTTGCATCCCCAGACTCAATTTGCAGTCAGAGCTTGCACATTCCCGAGCTTTCAGCATTGTTTGCAGAGCAGGGTGGCAAAGATGAGTTTGGAAATTTATTTATTTATTTATTTATAGCTTTTTTTAAGGGCGTCCCTTACTGTAGTCTCAGGACAGTTTAACAAGACAAAATAAAATAAAACACAGCATCGTAATCAACCAGTCAACAATAAAACCTATATTAAAAACGGCCAAACCTTAAAACATTGGGAAAATAAAAACGTTTTAGCCTGGCGCTGAAAAGAATAAAGTGATGGCATGGCAAACCTCTCTAGGGAGCAAGTTCCACAATTGGGGTGCCACTGCAGAGAAAGCCCTTCTCCAGGTAGTCACCCTCCTAATCTCCTTCAAGGAGGGCTCCCGGAGCAGGGCCTCTGCCCCAGATCTTAAGGGGCAAGCAGGCACATATGGAAGGAGATACACAAAAGAATCCAGACTTTTGAAGACGTGCACAAATGTGCCGTAATCAGTGGGAGAAGTTCACATATTTGAGATGTTCACCCAAGTACGTTGTGACTTTCATGCAAAAAGATGCCGGGGAAAGCTCATATTCTGGTATGGATGCAAATTGGACCAAGCTTCACAGTGGAACCTCAGTGAAGCTGAAGTCTGCTGATTACCATATCCCTAATCAGGGATAACCCCCAATATGCCGTTCCAAAGCAAATAATGCCTTATCCTTGGCTATGCTGTCAGAATTGAAGAGAGAGAGAGAGCTTTAGCAGCTCTTGAATGTATGGCACCAGTGCGGAAAGGGTGTGGGTCATCAGGGAAATGATGGTTTCCAGCTAGAAAAATCTTCCCAGTGAGTTGCTGCTCAGAGATAAAGAGATTTTAGTCTAGGTCATAGAGGGGAGAGGCCCAAGATGAAGGGGGTACAGACCAGAAGAAAACAAGTGGGCTGGATGGAAACCCCTCCCAAGCGATACTCAGCCTGGCAGTTAGAGGTGCCATGTCTCTGCTGAATCCAGGATGACGTTATGAAATGGACCAGAAAAGCATGGTCCCCAAAGCCCTTGAAGTTGGCATGCATAATCAAGTTAGGCATATCTGCAGAGTAGTCTTTACATGTGTAATTCTCATCCCCAGTTGACCTACTGGGTGGGGTTCCCAAGAGCTCCAGCGGAGTCTCCCACATAAGCTTCCAAACGGTCTTCTGCTTCACTTAGTCCCAAAATGTAAGGTAGCTTCTTGAGTTGATGACTAAGCCAGAATTAGGGCCAAGCTAAAGGTGGTGTCTAATGATGAACTGGGGAGCTGCGTGTGCTCACTTTATTTACCCAAGCATAAGCACATGCAGTCTTAATTCAGATTGCACCCATGTTGCTCTGAAAGGAGGTGGTTAAACAAATCCTTCCACAGTCACACCCACTTTCTTCATGAAATTCCAAACACAGACAGACGTGGTTGAAAAAAATGCAACGGTTCTCCATTGTCTCCAGTAGAAGTCTTAGAAGGAAAAAAATGGGTCAACGGGTCATTTTTTTTTAACCTGGGAAGGTGGGTGGCATTTGCAATGAAAATGGTGGTGGAGGGTGTTTATCTCCCCTCCCAGGGCACCATAATCCCAATCTGAACCAGGTCCATGTGTGTTTACAAGAAAAATAAATAGAACCCTTGCACATGTGAGCACGGTGCCTGCTTAAACTAATGGTTCACTTGGCCCTTACTAAAATGCTTTCATTTTACTTAAAATTCCTGCAATCTCTCTCATGACCTGGACTATGTGAAAGTGCCTAGAAATCTCATTTTAGGTGTAACAGGAGCAATTTGTATCCCAGGTTTTACCTACTTTGCCAATAGTACAGTTTCTTCACTAGTCTTGGCCTCCTAATACAAACATCCAGAGCTGAAGAGAAGCAAATGAAGGGCACAGTATGGCCGGCTTAAAGATTTGTTTTAGCATTCTTTGTTTGATCCAAATTGAGTTGGTACCTCCCCTCCACAATAGGAGATGCTTCGACTTTCTGCTTAATCACCAAAAAAAATCATTTTTTTTTTCTGAGCAGGAACATCCAATTAGAATTTTCAGGGCCAAACTGCATGCTACCTTGAAGATGCAGGTAGCTGCTACATCTTTTCCTTACTCTAAAGTAAGCTTGCTTTAACTCCCTTCTGTGCTTCAGATCTGGCTCAGGGCCCACACCTGTATGTTCAAAGGGAGGCGAAATGAACCATTTGTTTGAATGGCTGTTTAACCCATGTCAAACTTTTCTCTCAACTAAAAAGCCCCAGTATCCTTAGATTGTTATAAACATTTACACAGCGCTCCTATTTCAACTGGGAGGCAGAAAATTCAGAGCAGAGAAACCACCATTTCCAAAGACCTACTGGGGTTCCACAATCCATCATAAACACGACTGGCTAGAGGGAAGTACATCCCAAGCCTTACTTAATCTCTCCCTAATGTGACTTTATGGGACTGCAGGTGGCGCAGTGGTTTAAGCCGCTGTGCTGCTGGACTGGTAGATCAAAAGGTCGCCGGTTCGAATATGCACAATGGGGTGAGTTCCCATTGCTCCATCCCAGCTCCTGCCAACCTTGCAGTTCAAAAGCATGCAAAGGCAAGTAGATGAAAAGGTGCCACTTCGGTGGGCAGGTAACAGCGTTCCATGCACTTCGGTATTTAGTCATGCCGGCCACATGACCACGGAGACTGTCTGGGGACAAACGCTGGCTCCCTCGGCTAGGAAACGGAGATGAGCACCGCCCCCGAGAGTCAGGCATGACTGGACTTAACGTCAAGGGGAAACCTCTACCTTTTAATGTGACTTTGGACTGGGCAATTATTCCCACCACTGCGATGAGTGAGGTTCTACCTCCTCTTCCCTCTTGCAAAAATTATAAACCTCTCAATTTGTCATCTTTGCTCCTTCTGCCTTTCTCCATTCCTCAGGCTTACCATAATATTTTATCTAATTCTTTCAAGGACTTCTATAACTGGCTTCTCACCTTTTTAATGACAGTTCTTAGCTCAGCATCCAATCAAGATGGAAAACATCCAGTGCAAGTGGTAATATCGCAAAAACAAAGTGAAATGTAAATGCAATTATAACATGAGAAAATAAATTAAAAAGTTGCATAAAAGGAGTATAGCTAAGAGAAAGAAAGCAGCTCACAGAGAAGACGATCAATGGCGACTAGTTGTGAGGGCTCTGTGCAACCTCCAGGAGCAAAGCAAGTGTGCCTACATGCTGCAGAACATTTTCTTTTTTTTATTTCGTTCCATGCCACCCCATAACCCAAAGGTTCTCTGGGCAGCTTACATATGCTGAAAACAGCACACAATACAGTCGATAAAACAATTAATGGAGCAGATGAAATCGATAGCATGGACAGGAGGATGCTGTGGCCCTGATGGGATTCCTCTTGGCAGCTGGCTTGGCCACTAGTTTTGTGTGATTGGATGCTGGACCAGTGGCCTGATCCTTCATGGGGCTTCAAGTGTTCTTAAAAATGGCTATGCATCAAAGACTGGATAAATAGGATGGGTTCTTATGGATGAATGCTGGTGACACCATTGAACTTCTGGTTTCTCAAAGCACAGTGTTAACATCTCCAACCCACATCCCCCCCAAAAATGGGGGGAGAGCTGTGTTGGCCCATGAGAAATGTGCCAAAAGCAGCCTTTATGGGGACTAACCCGAAATGGTTACGCTTTCATTTTTGTCCAGAACTCTTCATCAGGCAGGACATTAAGGAGATCAGAGTGGCTCTGGAGAGAAGTTGGCTTAACCTTGAAGTCTCAAGATCACCTAATGACACTATTAAGATAGAAATAGGAGAAGTCAACAGATTGACTTAGATCGGACTCAAGTCAGGCAGGGGAAATGTGGTACTCCACTCTACAACTCCCATCATCCTGTCCTTGCTTGGCGGATCTGATAAGAACTGGACGCTGAACAACATAATGATGGCCACTGATCCCCCACCCTTAAGGAGCAATCCTATGCATGTATAGGCAGAGAACTCCCAGAATCCTACAGACATTTAGCCAGCTAAACAAGCATAGGATTTCTCCCTTATTGTATAAAATTCAGAAAATTCTGATAAGCAAAAGAATTTTACATTTGTTAAAAAATATAGTATAAACTTTAAAAGCACTTTTCATCAGCTTCATTATAAAATTTCTTCATATTTAGTTTATATAAAATCCTTTTAAGAGTAGAAACATTGTAGCAGCTATTCTATCCCTACCTGGCAAGCATTCCTAATAAAGTATATTAATTTGTAAGTGTTTGGTTGCAGGGGGTGGGGGATATATGGCGAATGAGGTCCTTTAAGCTTGGAAGAAGGAAGACTCAAGTCTTGAACAGCTATTGCGTCTGGGACACTAGTTTGCATCTTCTCTTTACCCTTGCATATGGGCTGATGGAATCATCAAAAATGAAGTCCCAGAGAACTCGGACCCAAGACTGATGGTGAGGTAGGTTGTCATAATATTCGGCTGCTATCTTCTTTACCTGAAAAGATCAAAAGAGACATTTTAGCCAGTGCTCTTTGATGCCATCTCACCAGCCACTGGAAAAGGCTGAGTCCCTGCTGCAACCTGGGAAAAGCCTTCCGAGATGACAGTGGGGACTTCACCTTTGGAGGACACCCCCAGCCCTCCCAGGCAGAGGCCACAAAGATGGAAGCCTATCTCAAGGGGGCTGGGTGCATTCCACATGATGGGGAAGGACAAGGCACCAGCGACGTTCTCCAAATTTATTCATTTTACATCCATTCATGTTTTTTCCTTGCGAGGAACTCAAGGCAGCTTATATCATTCACCTTCCCACAACAACCGTGTGAGGTAGGTCGGGCTGAGTCTCAAAGACTGCCCCAAAGTCACCCAGTTGGCTCCATGGCTGGGTGGGACTAGAGCCTAGATCACTCGAGCCTTTGTCCTCCTCTCTTAAACACTACCCTACACTGGCTCTCAAGGGGTGCCTCAGCCTTTCCTCTTAATGAGGTGGAAAACATTTTGATCTCTGAAATCAGCTCTTTAAATGCTTAAATATGTTTGATGGTTAAGGGAACATGGAGGCAATCGTCACCCCCATGTATCTCCGCCTGCATAACCTTCTGAGTTCAGGCTGTACGGCCAAATCTTTATGAACTATAAGATCATACACCTGGGCATCCATAGTTGAGGGGGTGCGGTTTCTGATGCAACTTCCCTTTTTATGAATGCACACAGCTGAAATGTGGCCCAGTGAACACGAAGTTCCAAATCAGATGGCCAGGACAGATATTAAGGCCTTATACATCCCCTCTTAAATGCTCAAGGTTCAGACACGAATAGCAAGCTATGCATTTACCGTTCCTGTAATATTTTCTGCAATACACGAGTTCTATTTCTGTAAATCTTCTGTAAAGCATCTGTTGGTTGCCCTTTTTGTCCTGAATGGGATGTTAGGATTTTGCTTTTTCCTGTATTTTAGAGATGCTCTAAAATTTAAAAAAAAAAAATGTGTGGGGGGGTGTTGTATCGCGGCAGAATGAGACCACTGGACACCAACCTGGAGAGTTGGAGGGTCCTTTATTTACCTGCGCAGGGACCAACACATTAGTAAAGTGTGGTGCCTATGTATGGTATTACAAGCCTTTTTATAGCATTTCTTTATCTCTGGAAAAGTACTAACGTATGTCTTCGGCATGTCTCTTGCCACAGTTTCTGCTGACCACTCCTAATCGTCGCTGGTATCCGGGTCTTGCAGGCCTCTTAGTCACGTTATCTTCCCTGCCTGACCTTGCGCTTGTGCTTCTTCCTGTTTTTGGTTTTGCATGGTCATGCCTGCGTGACTCTGAGAGGGTCGGGGTAGACCCTGTACCTTTCAGATAAAGTGGTTAGCAAGTAGGTGTGCCGTGCGCAAGGGTGGGCTAGGTTCAATAAGCGATAAGCGGTTATTCTGTGCTGCTAGCGAGCCCAGTTCAGGGGTGAGGAAGCAGCCTTTGCCTGGGCTAGGTTTGTGGGTTTCATGTGCAATGAAGTTTGAGAGTTTGATTACTGGTAGCGATCAAGCCCTGTTCATGCCTGTTACCTGCTTAGCTCTACAGGTGAGGTGCCTGATGGATGAAGAGCTGGATATGAAGTGCAATTCATTACCAACCTCTCAGCTTAACCTGGCTGTGTGCGCCCCCACATTGCCAAAAATGAAGTTCGCTTCCTCTTTTGCATTGTTGGTGCCCGTTTAGCTGCGTGTGGAATGGCGCTCACCCCTGCACTTTGGAAGCAGAAAGAATGAGAACATTCTGGTCAAACTGAGACCCAAAATATAGCTAGGTGGTGCAAATTTGTGATTATCAGGCCTTGCCAATTATGAAGAGGGCAAGCATCAAGCTGGTCTGGCCCCGAGACTACTGCTTTGAGACAAGAGTGGCCCAGCTCTGTCCCAATCCTTTCCCCCCCTTTTTTTAAACATAACAATCAAACAACTATCACCTGCAAGTGAGTATCCTTAAAAATCATTATCCCCCTTGAACTGAAAAGGTACCATTTATACTCCAGCTCTGCCTATACTGAATTCAGGGCACGAAGTTCCCATCAGCCACTGCATCCACCCCTCCCATCTTTACAAGCAGCCGATTTCTGCCCTTGGAGTGAAAGGCTGAAGTTAACAGGCATGCAAATAAAGTTTCTAGCCACTCTGCCTGCCCTCGGGGAAGCAATGCCACTGATCAGGTTTTGCACTCCATTTGGCCGCTGATGTAGAATTAACTGTGCGCGCACAGGAAGTCGTTCTCAGTCCGTGGCTGGAGGAGAAGCGCACCGAAAACAGGCCCTGCAGGTCGCCCTGCTGCACCCTAGCAGCTCCCTGCCTCCTCACCCCTCCACACGGGGAGGGGAAAGCCCCAGCAGGGCTCCTGGTTTGCTCCCTCCCTGCCACGGCACGCGAGAGCCTGGGGGAGCAGTTGCCCCCGACTCGCTTCTCCCTTGCAGCCTCAGCACCCCTCGCATCAGCCATAAGCAGCAACTCCCAGGGGCCGCCGTCGCCCCCTTCCTCTTCCAGCGGCTCATGGTCCAACTGACCACTGCCCAGCAAGTCTGAATAGTACTAAAACTTGAAGGACACATCAACAGACCTGCAGGAGACCTGCAAGGAGATGATCTATGGATGCATAATATCCTTTACTGGTTCAACTTTACAGTCCAGGGATCTGGTCCTCATGACCTAATTTGCAACAATGATCAGTGACACTTAAAGCTGTCTCGGAACTGGGCTTTCTCATCAAAAGCCATATAGGAGATTTCCTCTGTAGGGATACGCTTTCTTGGGCTCAGTAGAGTGCAAATAAGGGAAGGAAAATTATTTTTTCTAACCCAGGACTAGCATGTTTACCTTGTACTGGGGCACAGTTAGAGACTAGGGAGATGCTGGATCCCCCCCCCCCCCCAATTGCACCCACCATGCCTGCAAGCAACTGCCCCCCCCCCATTTTCACATCTGTTCACATTGGACCTTTTAAAGGAGCAGAGATTTGCAAAGGAACTGGTGCAGTAGATCTAAAGTCAGATCCTTCCCCTGTTGGAGAATGGACTTCTTTCTCTCCCCAACTTTAGAGGGGGAAAACTGAACAATCCTACATTTCCAGGGGCACCTTCCTGGTGCCATAGGATTGTATCCTATAATGCCTGCAATTTGGAGGGCCAGTGCAATGGTCTCAAATGGTCTCAAAGTCCCTGAAAATGGTGGAAAGGGATTCCACTGAGCAGCCCCATTCCAGAAAAGCCATTGCTGCAGTGGAACAAACTAAAGTACCAGTTACTGCCTATGTTTCTATATCTGTCTGCAAATTTAATTAGTGTAGCATTAATCAAATATTTGTCACAGTATAATGCATTTAATGCTAAGGGCCCCATAAAAATAGCAGGAAGCTGACACAGAGGATTTGTGGTGACTTGAACAGGTATTCTCAAGTTCTCTCCATGCACTGTAGCCAGGAAAACCAGATCTCAAAACTGGGAAAAGGTCATTTGTCAATTTCTGTTAATGTACAGTGGTGGCCATTGCACAAACTCGCTGGTTTGACAGCACTCACTTTAATAGGTTACTTATTTGTCTACAGGTAAGCATCCAGGATGAAGAATATGAATGCCCCATTGTAGTCTTTTGGGGATTTGAACCTGGACTCCCCGCACCACCTTCCAAAAAGCTGCAGGCAAAAGCAACACTCTGCTAGGGCTCCACTTTCTTTTTTTCTTAATTAGTATTCTATTTCTTTGTATTTGACACATATTTTCTACTGTACACTGCCTGAGAATCTCTCTCTCTCTCTCTCTCCATTGTAAAGTAGCTGATTTTGCCATGTTGCAAATAACCAATGCTGGAAGCGTGACCACACATTTCATGCCCTGGCTGGCTTGTCTATTTAGCCATTATCACAAAAGCAAGATGAAATCTAATAACACTAAAGGCTGACTGATTCAGTGTGACTTTTGCGGACTGGAATTCACCTTCATCAGATGCCCAAAGGCCATTTCCAAGTCGGTAACAAAGGAAATTCTTGGATACGGAAAGACCTAGTACACAGACTGGAGCATTTGTGATATTTTGCTGGAAAACTCAAGTATGTGCAAGGTTAGAAAAGTGCTGTTCAGAAGAGAAGGCACTGGGAAGGCGTCCTCCTTGCTGCTCACAGCCAGCATTTCTAATCCCACTCCACAGCTACTGTGCCGCCAAGAACGTTCCCCTGGCTCTCCAGGCAGTGCTCTTCCTTCTTGAGAGCCTGTGGATTTGAAGGCGGCGGCAGGGACAGCCTGGGTTTCTGTATGATGTGGGTGACTGTGTTCATGCCACCAGGGGCCTGAACCTTTCAGCCCAAGGGCTGAATCCTGTTGCAAGGGCTGCATTCCACTGGTTGAACATACCAGAAATATCAGCATACTTTAGCCTAAAGCTGTTGCAGCCAGTAACTGAGTCCTTTTCCCCCTCTTGCCTCCCAGGTAGAACATCACAAGGGCAAGACCAACTTAGCTCCACCCATCAGCCCCCTTTTGCCCCTCCTTGCCAAAAACTCCTGTAAGAACTTGCAACCAAGAACTGGGGCCAACATGTTACCTTTTTCCTCTTTCTTCCAAGTCCCTTTTCCTTTTGTGTTGTTTCCTGAAGGCAGCAATGTCTTATGATTAATTTTTGTGAGCTGCTCTGGGATCCTTTTCAGGGAGGGTAAAAATGATGTTAAAAAGCGCATAAACTGCACAAAATGCACAGGGGGGGGGTGAAGAACAATAAATTGTAGGGGGAAAGGGGAGGAGCCAGGGGAAGGGGGAGCGGCTATCTGGGGAAAGTCCAGAAAGCCAGGTTTCTCAACACTCCTGGCGTTCCATGACATAGATACATTTCAGCTTTCCCTTTAGTATGTATGGAAGAAACTTTAGAAGACCTGAAAGTATTTCTCTGGCAGCATCAACCTCCAAAGTGTCTTTAGTGACAGTTCCTATGCCAGCAGCTGGATGGCTCCCCTGTATGGGCTTTCATTCATTAGCATGTAGCATAAGGCTTCCTGGGCAGGTGACAAACATTTCCCTGGCATTCCTCCCTATTGGACTTCTCTGCAAGAGGGATTTAAGCCACTGCAGAATGGAGGCAGCTCATTCCCTTTTCATTGCAAAGGAAAGCATTTCTCCCCCTTTCTCTACATTTATGAACAAACCACAAGGCAGCACTGTGGCAAGACTGCAGCGCAGCAAAGAGTTGCCTTTTCGTGAGGCTCTTGTTCTGATTTCTTGCGATTTAAAATTTAATACCTGCTCTTCCTCTGTCTAAAAATCCTGCAAGAAAGGCAGGGAGACTTGGGAGAGACCTTGAGGACAGAAATGTTGGGAAAAGGCCCCATGAACTTCCATGAGCGAGGGCTCCTGAGTGCACAGTAAATGGCTGGTATAAAAAAGACCTTTGTTGACAGGGATTTAGGCACGACATCCAGGTCTCGCAAAGCAGGCAAGGAACAAAAGCAGACGCTTACCATGGGCAGATGGCATCCAGGAATGCTTGGGAAGTCATGGTGCTCCATATGGTAACCCCCATTGAAGGTGATCCAGTTCAGGGGTCCATAATAGGAATACGTTTCGTGTCCTTTCAAAAACATATAGTGCTCTGCTACGAAGTGCCCAGCGATAGGATGCAAGCCCAAGCAAAGGAGTGTTCCTGCTATTAAGTATATAACGGGCTTCAAGCCCCACAGGTGGCAGATAATAATGTCGACAGAGAACTGTGCCAATGCATTAAAGATTTCCATCTCAGTAATTGCTTTGGGGTTCACATACAGAGGTCTCAAGGCATAAAAAACTGGCTGGAAGGCAATCCAAATCAGTTTCCGACATGGAGTACAAAAGAACCAGCCCTCGAAGTCAGTGGGCAGGTCGGTGTCCAAACCATCTCCGCCAAGGTACCGGTGATGGTCGATGTGATACTTCTTGAAGGAGGCAGAGTACGGAAGTCCAATGGGCAGGTTGGCAAAGACGGCAAACCATCGGTTCCACCTGGCCTGCTTGTTACCAAAGGCAACGTTGTGAGAGATGTCATGGATCGCGAGGGTCAGGGAGTGGTTGATACAGCCTCCAAAAGTGTAGGCCCAGAAAAAAATCCACTTCCAGGCGAGATTTCTCACCAGGTAGCAGGCGAGAAGCTGGGTGAGCACCATTCCGGACACAATCCATTTTAAGTGGGGATTTGGGCCCATTAGAGATTTGATGGCTGGATACTTTGCTGAGGGGGAAAAAGAAATGTTAGGTCAAAGACCATCAGACTTCTTCTTATTCATAAAATGTTGAGCTGTGAGGGCAAAATTCATGCTCGTGGGAAGTCGTGACAGCCTCCAACTTGGATGGCTTTAAGAGGGGATTGAACAAATTCTTGGAGGAAGCTATCAGTGGCTACTAGTCTTGCTGGCCATTGGTTACTACATTTATCAAAGGGGGCTTGCCTGCATACACCAGTTGCTGAGGAGCTTGGGCAGGAGGTCTTGCACCCATCCTGCGTGAGGGATCCTATGGGCAGCTGGTTTCTCTCCGTGTTTACGGAGTGTTGGACTGGATGGACCTTTGGTGTGATCCAGCAGGGCTTATTTAGCCTATCTATTTATTTGTCTATCTAAAATTGTATCTATGCAGCTTTGAAAGGATGAACACTCTCCAGATGGTGTACCAAATAAAAATAAAGGAAAACCCATAAACATGCGTCAAAAAACACATAAAAGCAGTTTGTCAATTAAATTCATTAAAAATTCAGTTCACCAATAAAATGTGTTTCCATAAAACCCATAAAGACTGTTCCTTTAAAATTCATAAAAGCAAATTTGCCAAACACAATCATTAAAAAAATTAAACCTACCAAAGAAAGACCAACTGGCCTGACTTAAGGGAAGGCCTGCGAAAAAGGTGGGGTTTCAGAGCTTTCCTGAAGCCCTGCAAAGAGGGGCCTGGCCAATTCTCAATGAAAGTCAATCCCACAGGCATGGGGCCACCACTTGTAAGGCCTCTTCTGTTGCAGTCATCCCCTCACCGTCCACGTCCCTCTAGCCACGCACTCCATGTCAGCCACTTCAGCCTTTCCCAGTAAATCAGTTGGATGGCAACTCCCACCCCACGCTGGCTGGCGATGATACACTCGAGTGGCACGAAGTTATGGAAGCCTGCTCTGTATGTCTGCTTGCCACAAGGGGAAAAAACCAGACAACAGCCATTGGCTTTGCAAATGGCCAGGCCACACTCTTCAGGCCAAACTGTCAAAACCCACCAGCCCATCTGGAATGGGGAATTCCCTCTATGTCTGCTTGACGTGGCACCATGGAGGGCAGGAGGGGGCTTCCCAGGCCGACTCCGGCGGCAGGCCCTGGCCAGCGGAGCTTCAGCAAAGCAGCTGTGCCGCTCCTTTCAGACCATGTCCAGCAGTGCAACGAGGGCTGGATCTTGGGGCGACAGTCCAGAGCCCCACAGTCCTACCCCACATGGACCTTGCTAGTGCCAGGCCTCAAGAGCATCAGGGCAGCAGCAGAAAAATCCATTTTTATCCCTTTGCTGTGATGCTATGCTTTAAGTGAATTTAAAACACTTCAAAATGTTTTGGAGGCTGTGCATGTGTTTTTAAATCAGGGTCTTACTTATTATTCCACCTTGTTTCTCCATGCAAGGCACCCATAATGGCTTTTGTGGTCCTCCACCTCCTCCCCATTTTATTCTCACAACCCTGTGAAGCAGGTTAGACTGATTGACGGGCCCAGAGTGGGCTTCGTGACAGGGAGCAACCAGCTCTTTGTCTCCTGGGGCCAACACACCAGCCACCCCACAGTGGCTCCCACTGCTGTGCTGGCAAAGGAGCCATTACGAAGCAGAGCAGGTGGGAAAGAGACAACTCGCTTGGCTCACTTGGCCAGGTGCATCCAGCCATGAAGCGCAGGGTCTAAAATTACCCAGCTGTGCCGCTTCACGTTCTGCAGCCTTCCAACAAGGAGGGCCTGGGACCCATGAAATTCAGCTGTTTTCCCCTATGTTTATTAATTCTACCTAGAAAACAGCATGCTGCGATTTTTCCCCCTCCAGAACTGCAAATTGCAGCAGAATCTGATACAGCAGCATCACATTCTTGCCAAATCCTGCCACTGTTACAATATCAAGCCCTAGAGTGAAACGCTGCCACTGGGTAAATGCCCTACTTGGCCACTGGGGTGCTCTTGCTGGGGGTGCCCAGAAGAGCTGCAACCCTGCAAGTCTGGGAGGCCGTCTACCCCCACCAGGCTGCTGTCCAAGGGCACCCACTGAAAGAACAGCTCTCTAGTGCATCAGATTAACTTTTGACCACATGTACTTCCACCTTCATTCTACTTGAGGTTCCCCTCCTTGGGAGACAGGGGGGTTTAAAGATGCACACACTGAAGTTTTCAATCATTGAATTAACATCTGCAAAGATGTGCATTTCTTAATCTGGTGGACCTGAGCTCTGGATCCTTTCTGGACGTAGCATCACTCTGCTGTGTCCCCTACTGACCTCTCAATCACAAAACTACGGAGCCAGCACTTTGCCATCGTTGTCCAAGTGTTAGTTGGGCTGATTTCTGAAAGCCAGGAAGAATCAATTATGAAAGAAAGCTGTTAATTTGGTGACTCATGATTGAACAAGCCTTGATTCATTTTGTCAGGCTTAGTTGACAGGGCCTCTTAGAAAAGAAATTGAGGGTTCTTGTAGCACATGGAATGGATCCAACACGGCACTTCCAAAGCACCTGGGACTGGTATTGCTTATCAACCTAGCAGGGTGGCTTTTAATGCAAACAGGCAGACATCTGAACAGTGCCAGGTTTTTGGCAAGGCACCCCCATGGGCTCCTTCCTCCAGCAGGCTACCTCATCTTCACTGTGGCCACCAGCTCTCATTGTGACCACTTGCCAGACAGAGAACCAGTGGGCATGGCACAGGCCATCCCCCTCCTCCTCAGTGCCGCCACTGGCTGTGCCAGAAGCAGGTGAATGAGGAAGCTGCAATGGAGAACAGGAAGGGCAGCTCCCGGGGCTCCTGCTGGTGTGGGACCTCAGTAGGAGCCCGTCCCTGCCTGCTTCTGATGCCAGCTCTGTGCCGGAGCCCCTTTCCACCAGCAGAAGCTGGCCAGCCTCACTTCCACACTAGTTGCTGGAAAGCATCCTCCACAGGCCCCGAGGGCTGGGCTGGGGGGGACTGGCAGCCATTCCTGCTGAGCATCTATTTGCTGCAACAGGTGCCTCACTTTGCCTCATGGTGCAGCCAGCCCTCTAGGGAAGGCACTCTTGGACAGCTCAATGCAGTGCTTGGCAGCCCTGCTGTTTAATTGTACTACCTCTGGATTCGGGACTGACCCAAGAGTGCTTGCTGTCTGAGCTGAGAAGCCAAGTTAAGGGGCAGGGTGTCTGCCAAGCAGGGGCCCACGGAGCAGCCCCTTTGGGCCTTGCTCTTCTTCCTCTTCTTTGCAACTTGCTTGCTCACCTGCCTCGCCCTCTAGCTGATACAATGGTGTTGGGGGGGGGGGGGCAGACACACCACTGCCTGCTTGCCTGCTGCTCTCTGCCTGTCAAGAGAGCGAGTGACCGCAGTGACGAAGAGGATGAGGAGCAATAGCAGCTGGTGACCACGGCAGGGAGGAGATGCACTCCCTGGGGGAGGAGGCTGTTAAGGGACCCTTGCCCAGGGACCTTCAAGACCTGCAGCTGCCTGCAGAGTACCCAAGCCCAGCCACTTTGTTTCAGCACAAGCACCTCACTCTGGACAGTGAAGCAGCAACAAGAAGAAAGTGGATGCATTCAAAGCGTGGTGCTGGAGGAGAGTTCAGCATTTACCCCGAACCGATCAAAAGATGAACTAGGGAGTCCCAGGTCAGATCCAGTCCGAGTTTTCCTTAGAAGCAAAAATGACAAACCTGAGACTGTTGTACTTGGGACGCATTGGTACGCCAGGTAATCTTAGGATGCAGCACACCTCAAATGGTGGCGCTTGCTTTCCAGATTGCCTTGAAAGGTTTGGGATTCAATGCATGCAGTCTGAAAGAACAAGCCTGCGTTTTGCAGTCATACACACACACCACTTAGAAAGCAAAGTTTATTCAGCAGAAAAAGTAGAGAGAGCACAACCTTTTAACCTGCACATGGTGGGCATGTCGTGAGCGGAGCCGGCTGGTGCCGGAGGTCAGACTAGATGGCCCGGGAGGTCCCTTCAGACTCGCTCTGTTTCTATGTTTCTAACCTGAAGTTGTCAAAACAGCAAATAGTCCTGTTGCATCCCAGTCTTAGTCTGTACTTCTTGGGATGTGCACAATTAACAGCCCGCCTGTTTTTGGATTGGTCGTTCTATTTAAGACGTACTACTGTGGCATCCAAAGCCAACTATCAACACTGGACATACCCAGAAGAGACGCCAAACCCCTTCCTCCCCTTTGGCTCCTCTTGACCACTAAGAACCACCAAAGGCACAAGTTACCTTCAGCCACAAAAAGGTTGCAGTGGGGGGATTACACCTCCCTTCATGGCAATATCCTCCACTTTTCCACACATACCCTTTAGCTTCCACCAGAGAGCATATTTTGCATTCTGTCCCAAGCCAATAGGACCTTGGGAAAGTGCCCACATCCCCCTTATGTCAGGAACAAGGAGTTTTGTTTTGACAGCTATCTAGCTGTCAAAATCTGGTTCCTTTTTAAAGGGGGTGGGAAATGGGTAATGTAGCACTGGGACACATTTGTGTTTTTTGTGAGTTGGTCTTTTGCATGTTTTATCTTTGGAGGGTGAGGGGTTTGAAAAATGACTCCTTTGACTATGCATAAGCGGCCATCTTTGCAGAACAGGAGATATGAGACTACCTGTTGGTGTATGGGTACCTCCCTCTGATCAACTAGAAACCTTCCACAGGTAGTCTAGTGAGCAGAAGGCCCAAAGGGAAACGCACTGGAGATCTACCCCATAGAAGGGCAGAAGGTAGATTCTCCAGACATTCAACTCACAGTTTTCCTGACCATCGGCCCTCCTGGCGGGGGCTTCTGGGAGCTGATCCCAAAGCATCCCTAAATCTACCCTGTGTCACTCCCTGATCAACAACTGTATCTCCTACAATTTATTTATCAGTTAAAATATGTGTGAATGGATCACACACATCTGGCCAGGTGAAGGAGCAACAAGGGCTGTTGCACCATTTCTTCCCAGCCATTCCTCTGCCCTGGCATGGCCAGCTCTTCTTACCCATGAGAAGGCA